ATTCGTATATTATGCGTTTAGTTATGAGCCCGGCTGCCGGTGTTACGTATTTTTCATTATGTAAGGGCATATACGTGCTTTGTTAACAAAGAGATTAATTAGAGATTTTTTGTTTCGATATTTCGCTATAGTTCGTTGCTCTTATGGTTGTAATAATTTATTTATGCAAGTTTATAAAACTTGTTCTATTATTAATTTATGGTCAATTAGAGATAAGAAATCAGAATAAGGCAATAAATCTATCAAACATTCGAAATAAAAGCTTATCACGTTTATTATTAAAAAAGACATCAATGCCTAATCAAAACCGAAACCCAATATCGATTTTTTTTGGAGATATCAATACCCAATCAGAATAGAAATCTTTATAAGTATATCTACCAATTAATTTAGTTTTTAACTTATGGGAGACATCAATGCCCAATTAGAGCAGAAACACAAAAAAAGCTTTTCAAATTAATTGAATTTCATCTACCTACTCGATATCGCGACTTTTGAACTTTTCGAGGTAATTTGAATTTTACGGTAAAAATCGGATAGGCGTCGAACTATCCGCAATGACTAATTTTCGAAATCAATCATGGTGTCTGCAAATGGGCGTCGACTTATCTTGGTACTCCATAAAAATTAAATGGTATTATTTAATATGTAAGAGCGCAGTCTGTTTGCGTGGGGCATGCCCGTGTATAGAGGCGTTCAAAGAGAATTCTATTACCCTTAAATTACCTCGCTTTAATTCGATTTGAAAATTTAACACCACCGTATTTCTAGCAGTTTATTTAAAAAAATTAAACAACTCTCACTACCTGAATTTACATTTGATTGGGTAAAAATCATTCCAGATCCTATATCAACTTTTATAATTCCAATTTTCTTTTTTTACCTAATATAAAAACACGTTTTTAAATCAACTTCACACAACATTCCGGAATTTCTGCTCCTCCGTAAAAAAAACACGACAACAACTACCTACCTGACAGACCCTCGTACACCTTTTACAGTGTTTAGTTCTGTCAATTGTGAGATTGACGTCCCGAATTCGGGATGCCAAGATTAATGATTTCATTTCGAGAATTTATATGAATAGACGAGAGCGGCCATTGTGTTTCGGATACCAGGTATGTACAGTTCGGTAAAATGTATCATATTGCATTGAGCTAGAAGACGGAAAGGAAAGGAGATTAGCCGGATTTGTGGCGCACGAATGTTACCTTTTACGAGGGCGATTCGAAATGTTGTTTCCACACGAAAGAGTTTCTGATCTCGTGTGTTTAATTTGTTATATTTTTATTCGCTTGGCATCGTTATTATTCATTCGTTAAATAGGTACATTCATCAAAATCCTACTGTGTAATAATAGGTTCCAGTTTATTATTCCGCAGGAAGGATATCAATAAAACATTGCACGACTAATAGCTGCAATATAAGAATCCTGCCGGGACAATTGCAAAAAAATGTGTACTACACATTCCATTAGACAAATTAAATAGTATATTATCTCGTTTGTCAAATCAGGGAGAAATTAATTTGTAAAACGAAAGATTCTCATGTAGTTAATTTTTAGTGCGATCCCTATATGAATTGAGAGTGAATTTAACTAATTTATAAATATGTAAAAAAACGATCGGGTTCGAAAACCAGCTCATCTCGAAGCGTTTAATCGTCACCGTACATCAAAGCAACATTATAATAATCTGTAGGTGTACAGTTTTGTAATTAAATCGATCAACAGTAGCTTACTGATAACCGCGTAATCAAATCAACAAGTGGAACTTATCGAGTTGCTTTATTGAATTAATTTCAATTTCTTAGTTGTTCTATTTCGATGTTATCGAGACGGAATGGCAGGAAAATGCTTAATGACCCGTTAGATGCCTTGTAATTAGGCCGTGTTTATGGAAATGGGAGAAAAAAAAACGCGTCGTAAAAATTTACGATTCGATCGGATAAATGTCGACGTGTCGTGCGTCGAGTTGTCTTCCATGTTGCAATATTTCTTACATTTCGGATTATTTTCGAATATTCGATGTGTGTGTGTGTGAATGCAGCGAACTCTAATAGGAAATACAAAATGGCCGTCGTCGTAATTAGGATTCGATTTAAATTTATATATAATTTAATTCGAAAGGAATATGTATTTAAAACAGCGGGGTGCTAGCTCGCTACTAGTTCTTTAATTAACTCCTCGGTGCACGTATACCATTAAATTGCATTATATTTTAAAATCGAAACTATTGCACAACAACCAATATAATTCTATAAAATAATAACGTTCCTGCTTGTTCGTAACAGAAGATTTAAATTGTGAATTTATGAAACATATCGATATCTAATTAAGAAGAGTAACCCAATACAGTATATGTAGCACACAAATTCCATCGGCAAATAATCTATTAAGCACACAATCGGGATTCTAAAAGACTGTAAAGCACGTCGAAATATAATGGGTAGTGCTTTGTAATTTTATTTATTGGATGTTAAATTCGTTGTTCGCATAGTACCTAGGTGATTATACAGTTAGAATGGTCGTAAATGAATTTAGTAACTGTGCTAATGATAGGTTACCATTGTTTGTAACACCTACGGTTTTTTTTCTTATGGTAAATTATGTTGCTCTCCTCGAATTCTAATAGCAAAAACGAGAATATTACAATCAACTATAAATCATTTTAGTGGTATCTAAGAGAGTAGGAAATAATATAGGTACCTACATAGCATCGATGGGATTTTGTTCGCTTTCTAAGTTGGTTTTGTATTTATAATTATAATCTGTTTAGATGCAATAATAGATAATAATAGTTCCTCCTGCAGAAAATCGTCCGTTAAGTTAAACAAATAAAATAGACGAGGCATTTTTTTAGCAAAGCGAATTAATCGACTTCAGTTCGCGCTTGCATCGGTAAACGTATCGAATCGATTAATCATACGCCATTTAAAGGTCGCTCCGATATTTTTACTATGCGGCGTCGGTAATAATTATTTAGCCGGCGCGCTCGTAACGCCATGTTTTCACAATTACTCGGCTATAGCGAAACAATTAGCGAACCAACAATTACTTAATGAATTACAAGCTCTTATGCGCTTTTTAACGCGCTGCCTGTCCGGCTTTGCGTATACGTTAAAACAGTTTTTGCACCATTAAGATACACCTAGCACTTTCACTTTAGAGTTTAGTCAAAACTACCCCTTTGGCGCTTCTTGTAGTGCAACAGAACGCAATAATTGGGGTGAAGAAAATTCGCAAAAAAGTGGAGTGGTCAATACGTAAAGGTAACAAGTTTGGCGCAAAGAAAAAGCAATTATATCGGGCGAAGTAAAAGCGCAAATAGCGCGGCAGCGAGTTAAGAAAACTCCCGGTCGAGATCGCGACCCCCTGTGCATTCGCTGAGACACTGACGTAAATTTATCGCTCGAGGTTTGAGGCCGGCCGAGTCGAATTTGCATTTTTATAAATTGGACGCCGCCATTTTTATTATCTGTTTTTTTTTTTCATTTAATTTTCTCCTCTGCCTCGACCGTGAAATCGTATCATAGAATGCTACAAGGTGCATTAATTAAGTTAATAAAAACGATTCGAGTAAAAGATGTTGATAAATTTGTCGAGGATAAAATAATGCTTTAAATTCCAATAAGATAACGGTTTAACATTGTTTTTTTTTTGTTAAATACCTACCTATCACACGATGTATTTTACTTAACGTCAAAATTGTCAAAAGACAATGGTAATGAATGAAAGATTAAAAAGTTCTCTACAAGCGCCAATAACAAAAACTAAAGCATATATAACGAGATAAGAAAAAATGTATATACATTATAGCCGTTTAATTGTGAAAGGCAGCACTATTATTACCTGTTGCATAAACCGAGTATCGTACGAAACCGAAAGTGGATTTTAATGTAAGTATATTATCTCTAAGTTTGTTGCAGGACTACTATCCTACAGATAAATTTGCGCACAAAGACACGCCTCGGCGATAACAGCTCGTTTCAATCGCACAATTTCGCACGCGATTCAAAATCCAAATGAATCAACAACACCCTGTATATACAACAGTAGATTTTTCCATTCAAATCGGCTAATATTTTTCTCCCGTTCGCCCGTTTGTTTCGTAAATTTCGCCTTGTTAAAAATGCTATGGTAATATTCGCATTCGAAACTGCACTCCTATCAGCATGGGTCGGATATGGTAGATGCTGCAATGTTCCCCGCTGCAGCGCCAATTCGCGTACGATACAACATTACGCTCGTAATGTGGAATAAGTTGTTCGATTAGTCCGAGAATTTATTAATATACTTACGTTTAAGAAAACGCAAAGGGGAATATAATAGAAGAGAAATACGATTGCGATGAAACGAAACGCCCGGTGAATAATCGTAAAGTAGTTAGTTGGTTATGTTAAATGTTGCCGATTCCTTGGAGTTTTATATCTGCATAAGTAAACGGGTAAATGATGATTTTAGTGCGGGAAGTTTACAATGTGCGCAGTATTTTGCGAGGTTTACAGTGAATTAAAAATTTGTAGGTATTTGGTATCGAAATTAAGTTGTTAAATTCGTTTTATGAAATACTATATTCCCATAAATAAGTACTAAAACTAAAGCTATCTCTATGGATAATATCAAACTTGCAGATAAAGTATATCATAAGTTAACTTACATATGTTTAGTTGGTAATTTAGCATCTCTGGAAGTATCTATTGCCTGATTATCTCGAACATACTACTTCAATCTTCAATGAAGACTATAATATCAAGTTTTTGCAAAGTTTTTTATACGAGAACAAGTCCTACTTACTGGCAATAAGCTTGTAAACTTTAATAAGCGTGATATAATGACGCCAAGTAAATGGGTCTTTAACGTATACTGTTGGTCTATTTAGCAACAATTTTAGTATAGAACCAGTCGTTAATAAAAGGAAGTCGAGTATCAAATTCCTAATACATATAGGTAGATTTTTTTAATAATGTGGTTGATAATGAATTGAGATGAAAAAACTCACCTTAGTTTTGGACGTGCGTATTTCCCCAGCACCATTGACGATAGCGTACACTTCAACATCGTAAATTTCCACACCCAATTCCCTATCCAATTCAGTCGCGGTGGATAACACCCCCAATTTGGTATCGATGTCGAACAACCTGTCCACTTGCCGACCGCCCCCCGTCACATTCGTCACGTAAAACTCCACTTCCCCGACATTAGCCCTCGCCGAAACGGTGAGGATGCTCGTGCCCGTCGGTTCGTTCTCGTACACACTCCCGCCGAACGACGCGCTCTCGAATTCCGGCCCGCCGCCCGCCTCGCTGGTCGCTATCACCGTGAGATAGGCCTCGGTGGACTTGCGCTCGCTCTGCACCGCCTCGTCCGTCGCCTTGACGCTGAGGCGGTAAGTGGCCTCCGGCCGGTGCACCGCCCTCCGGATGCGCAGCGCGCCCGTGCTCTGGTCCAGCCGGAACAAGTCGCCGCCGCCGCTGGCCAGCTCGTAGGTCACCAGGCCGTTGGTGGAGGAGTCCAGGTCGCGCGCGAACACGCTCATCACCGGAGTTTGGGGATCGAAGTTCCGGTCGAGCTTCGGCAGGATCGCGGCGTTCATCGACACGAAAATCGGGGCGTTGTCGTTCACGTCTTCCACTATCACGGTGACCAATTTATCGGCTGATAGTCGAGATGTTATCGGGGTGGCTTGATCAGTGGCGACGACTGTTAGTCTGAAGGTATCGATACTCTCCCTGTCGATGGGTAGGAGTGTGTGGATTACTCCTGTTATCGGGTTAATGCCGAAATGTCTTCGGTGGTCTTCAGGATCTTGGTAGGATATCGTGTAGGTTACTTTACCGTTAGCGCCGGAATCCGGATCGTCAGCTGTAACTGTGACTATAGGCGTATGAATGGGAAGTCCTTCGGGAATTTGTCTAACGATGGCTGTGCTTGGAAATGAAGGTGCGTTGTCATTGGCATCTTCGACCGCTACAGCGAATAAAACAGTGGTGGATAATCTAGGATTTCCGTTATCAGATGCAGTAATATTCAATTGATAAGCGGCGAGATCCTCGAAATCTAATGGTTTGTGTAGACGAAGTACGCCCGTTACTGCATCTATGTGAAAAGTATCTTTCCTGTTACCAGCCGTGATAGAGTAAAATACTTCACTGTTCATTCCCAAATCCGTGTCGGTCGCTTTGAATTGTATCAGCTCTGTGTTTACCGAAGTCGTTTCGCTGACGCGAATTTTCGATTCGCTCTGTACAAACTCTGGCGCGTTGTCGTTTTCGTCTAAAATATCCACGCTTACTACAGTGGTTGAGGTGAGTTGGTTACCGAATCCAGCGTCGTGGGCTAGTATCGTTAACTTATAATTCGCATTAGTTTCTCTATCCAGTAATTTCGATAAGGTGATTTGTCCAGTAGCCTCGTCGATGTTGAACTTTCCATCGTCGTTTCCGGCGATAATTTTGTAGAAAACGTCGCCGTTGAGTCCCTCATCGGCGTCGGTCGTGTACAAACGCAGCACTTGCGCTCCGATCGAAGACCCTTCGGATATTTGCACCTTGTAAGGCGCTCGCAAAAATTCGGGAGGATTATCGTTGACGTCTATCACGTTAACGCGCACTTTAACTTTGTCTTTGAGGCGCGGCGCACCGTTATCCGCCACTTCGGCTTCGAGCAGAACGACACTTTGACCCGTATTCGCCACGAGCTCTTCTCTATCGAAGACGCGCAACGTCCTGATGAATCCGTTTTTGGGATCGATGGCGAAGTCCGTTTGGGCGTGCGATAGCGTGAACATCAGCTCGGCGTTTCGGCCGACGTCCTTATCGGTGGCGGTTAATTTCCCAACGAACGAATCGGGCGGTTCGTTCTCGAATATGTTGAATACGAAAGTGTTGTTCACGAATTCCGGGCTGTTATCGTTTTCGTCTATTACGTGAATCACCACAGGCACTATCGACGATCTGGACGGGTTGCCGGCGTCGCTGGCTGTTACCGTTAAGGAGTAGTAATCTTTGTCTTCGCGATCTAGAGGTTTTTTAACGTACAAATACCCGTCGGGGAAGACGCCGAATTTACTCTCGTGGTTGCCCTCTGAAATAGCGTACGAAATCCTTCCGTTAACGCCGAGATCGGCATCGCTAGCTGCTAATGCGAAGAACCTCTCATTAACAGGTGTAGATTCTAATAGAGAAGTTTCGTAGGAAGTGTGGTCGAAAACTGGCGTATGATCGTTGACGTCTTCGATGGTGATCATGAGAGAGTGTTTGGTCGATAAGGGCGGCTCGCCACCATCCGTAGCAGTGATTTGAACGTGTAGAACAACGCCGGGTTCGTCTCGGATGGGTCGATTCAAGTAAATAACCCCGGTGGCTTCGGAAATGCGAAACTGATCGTTGATGTCGTTACTCAGACTATAACTCACCCGGCTGTTCGCGCCCGAATCGAAATCCCGCGCGCGCGCTAAATACACCTCTTGCCCCACGGCGGCGTTTTCTAACAGTTTGATTTCCTCTTTATCGCGCATAAACACCGGTTTGTTATCGTTCAAATCCTCCACTATAACATTCACCGTTGTTTTACCGTACGAAAATCCAGCTCGAGCCGCCACTATTAGACTATAACTCATCGTTTGTTCTCGATCGATTTTCTTGGCGGTGGTTATGGTGCCGGTGGTTTCGTCGATTTCGAAATTTCGATTCGGATCTCCGTAGACGATGTAGTAGGATGTTTGGTTGGTCCTGTTTTTGGTGCCGATCGCGCCGACGTCTCGTTTTCTGAACGCGTGCGAATCGCTCGGGTCTTCGACTATCCGGAAATCGTATCCGGCGTAATTGTCGAATTGCAATTCGTCTACGTACGCTTCTTTGATTATTTCGACGGTGGCGTCTTCGCTAGCTCGTCGATCGCCTCGATCCGCGGCCGATATTCTCAAACGGTACATCGGTTTCGGAACGTTTTTCATGTCGGTTTGCAGCGATACGATTCCCGACCATTGGTCGATGGCGAATAGTCCATCGCCTCCGCTTAATTTGTACGTAATTATGGCGTTTTCTCCCTCGTCTTTATCGTTTGCTGTGACTCTAATTAAAGACGCGCCTGGCTTGGTTTCTTCCGGTAGCGACACGAAGTATTTCTGCGGATAAAATTCCGGATTGTTGTCGTTTACGTCTAAAATAGTCAAATAAACGACGGCTGTTGACGATTGTGATGGTATACCCTGATCTTTAGCTACTATCGTGATTTCGTAATTAGCTACTTTCTCTCTATCGAGCTTCTTTTTGGTGACCAGTTGTCCGGTGAGGGAGTCTAAAACGAAGGTGTCTTCGTAGCGCTGGTGTAAATTATATGCTACACTCCCGTTGGTGCCTTGATCGTGATCCGAAGCTGTCAGCATAGCTACCAGCGTACCGATAGGAGCGTTCTCCGATAAACTGACGTCGATGCGCGATTGGGAAAACTCCGGCGCCTCGTCGTTCTCGTCCAAAATCGCCACCTTCAGCTGGGTGTGCGCCCACTTGGGGTTCGGGCCGCCGTCTCGCGCCGATATATTTAACTCCACGGTGCCCTGAATTTCCCGGTCGAGCGGCGCTCGAGTGGTCACCAAACCCGAAACGGGGTTGATGGAAAACCATCGGTTCTCGTTTCCAGACACAAAAGCGTAGTAAATCTGCGCGTTGACTCCCGTATCTTCGTCTGTAGCGGTGATTCCAGCTACGTAAGTACCCACGGGTACTAGCTCGCTGAGTATGGAGGAGTATTCGCTTTTTTCGAATACGGGTTCGTGGTCGTTCACATCGTTCACGTGGATTATGAGAAAAGCCGTGGCCGTACGCGGAGGGGTACCTTTATCCTTCGCAACGACTGTTAAATTATATTTGGAAATTTCTTCTCTATCTAGCACACCGTTCACCCGTACTATATCGAAGCTGGGAGTGTAATCTAATCGGAAATGGTTCAATTCGTTTCCGGATACTATTCTTACCGTGGTTTCTCCGTTGAGGCCTTCGTCTTGATCGACTACGGACACAGCAGCTACTACTGATCCGTTTCCGGCGTTTTCGTCAACGGTCGCGTAGCCAGCGGTGCTCGGAAAATACCTGAATTTTATCACGGGATCGTGATCGTTGGCATCCACTAGATTCACAGTGACATAAGTCCTTCCGTCTTGTCGCGGTGTGCCGTGGTCTCTCGCGAATACGGTAAACACGCAGCTTTTGGGGCAAGCTCCGCCAGGTTTGGAAGGGTGTATGCAATTCTGCTGCGGACAATCCAGGATTTCGGTGGTCGAAATCACTCCGGTTTCGGGATCGACTGTGAATTGCCGCTCGGTATCCGCCAAATAGTAGGTTATTTTCGAATTATCGCCCAAGTCGTTATCGGTCGCCATCACTTGCAGTACCGGCGTACCGGGCGGTACGCTTTCGTTCAGCGAAACAATATAATCGCTGTGGTCGAATATCGGCGGATTATCGTTGACGTCAAGAATCGAAACGTTAACTTGCAGATACCCGTATTTGGGAATTTTACCCCCGTCCCTCGCCGATATGTTCAGCAGATAAGTTCCTTGAGTTTCTCTATCTAGCTTACCCGTGGTTTCTAAATGTAAATAGGAAGTTTTACCGGTGGGATTCGGGGTGATGACCAAACGGAATTTATCGTCTTTATTACCCGCTATTATAGTGTAATTATCGCTAACGCCGTTCACTCCGGAATCCCGATCGGTAGCCGAGTCCAGTAAAAGTCTGGTACCGGCAGCGGCGCTTTCCGAAAACGACACCGCTATGCTGGGCTCCGGAAATTCCGGCGAATTGTCGTTGATATCCCTGACAACTATCCTCACTTCGATGGGATACGTGGGTTGACTAGATAAAATAACTAAATCGGTTCTATCGTTTCTCATGGTTTCCCTATCGAGCACCGCGTTGGTTTTAATCTCACCGGTGGTGGGATTTAGGGTGAATTCCTTCGGCGGTTCGTTGAAACGGTAGGTAAATCCCCGTTTCGTTGGAATCCTCCCGACGACGGTACCTTTCGGTTGTTCCTCTAAAATTTCCAATGTCACTCTGGTGTCGACGGCGCGCGATTGCATCTGCGTGGAGTACCCGAAAAACGGCGGTTCGGCGGGCCAGCCGACCGCCAGCAGGAAGGCCCCTCCGAGCAGCAAACAGCGCAAAATTCCCCGCATATTAATCCCGCGTCAGTACCGCAGCATTATACGCACAAATGCACGTGCGTTAGACGTTTAGATGAACAAGTCTAACATTCCTGTCGGATCCGCGCCCCGCGTACCGACTCGTTCAGCCTCTGGAGAGCGCGCGGCACTCGCTCTAACTCGCATACCAGCCGCGCTCCGTCTCTCTCCGTGTGGTATGCAATATGGCCGTTTACAGACGGGATCCTTTCGGTACTCTCTTCTCGAAAACGAACCGGGATTTTTATCGACACTAATCCACAACCGCAAGGTGTTTTAGTTCACAAACATTCGCAAGCACCTATTACAATTCAACTGGAATGTAAATAAACTCGAGTTACTCGAAACACTGGAGGTTAAACGAGGTTAATCACTTGTTTCGGGTCGAATAGACCGTCGAAAAACTCGCGCGAGCATCTAACGCACTTAGGTGTAAGGGTTAAAGTGTGTAAAGTCGTAGCAGGAACGATCTGGACGGTTGAGGAATTGCAGGAATGTATCGACACGTCGCGGTTTATGACCTCACATGTGTGCACATTTGCGGCACGGAATGCGCACGGTCCGCGTTCAGGTTCGACTGAAGAACTGGTAAGCGATTTCTTCATTTCTCGGAGTCTCGCGTTCTTACCTGGGGAGGAGTAATGGGGCCCAATGGTAACCTGTCGGCGTTGCCGGCTCACCTGAGCATCGGACGTTCGACTTAAAACATAAACGATATTTATGAGAGTGTCAGTCGGGCCTGGTTTTAGTCGTAAATCTATTGTAGGTGCCTATTTTTTTTTTTTTTCGTAGGTATACTCTTGTTCTCGGGAGGTATCTAATGCGTATACGTAGAAAAGTGAATTGATGTTCGGACTGATTTTTTTTAGATAAATTATTGGATTTCGTGGCTCGCCACGGGAATTTACGGGACGTTTCGAAAAAAATATGTTTCAACTACACAAACTATTAATCCGGCCGCTTCGTCATTTTTTATACGATTATTTTCGACTAGTTTTATACAGGCAGTTATTAATCTAATCTCATTTTTCGTAGGCATTAAGAATTTTATAATTTTTCCATAAATTTTCACTATCCTGCTCATAATATTTAAAGAAACATTAGTTCATAATGTAACATCATTATATTTAAAATACAAATAGGTTGTACGAAATCTGACTGGAAAATATAAAGCTATTTCATTTTTCAAAAGAGCAAGCTTATTTACCTTATTGTGGTTTAAAATTTCAATAAAAACCTTCTTTCAAAATACTTTATTCCTTTAGATACAATACTCTTTTGGACCTATTATACTTTCTCAACTGTGTGGAATCTTAAAATTTCTTTCAGTGGATTTTTCTTCCTTCCATTCTATTATAGTAAGGACAAATAATTATTTAATATGTACAAAATTGTACATATTACAAATTAAAATTAGAGCATTTATTGAATGGATTTCCATCAAGTATAGAATGTTAAGAATTATAATTAACATACCTACAGTAGACCAAAAAAGTATTCGTACAGTTGCATTATGTTCTGGAAGTCCGCGTTCAGTAAACAGAAACAAGAAGTAACTAGCAAATTAAAATCTACATTTCAAGACTATTCTTGCAATCATTAATTAACATTGTTATTAAAAATGTAAAATAAAAAAAAACGAAAAATGTTTGCATTATCCCCAAAATAAGTATTCGTACAGCAACGTTTTATCAATTTCTTCACTCTGTAGATATTAAATTGTTTATTGTTTTCGCCGGTATATTAGTATTAGGTTGAGCTCCTAGTTCTGTTTTCAAAATAATTCAAGTTTACCTTAAAATGCCTAGAAAAACTGAAGAAATAGATGGTGACTTAAAAAAGTCATCATCCATCATTTTATAGAAGGAAAATAATATAAGGAGATAGGTAAAATTGTTCAAAAAACACATATTACAGTTCAGTACATTGTGAAAAAATATAAATCTACTGGTTCCGTGGAAAATAAGTCAAGATCGGGAGGTACTGCCAAGTTAACTCAACGAGATCAGAATTTCATTTATCAAAAAGTTAAAAAAATTCCCTTTGTAAGTGCTCCATACATCGTTTCTGAACTGGAATCCAGTACATGGCATAAGATCCATCCGGAAACTCCTCGATACCACATTAAGCGATTAGAATATAGAGGAAGAAGACCTGCTAAAAGCCAAGGATAAATAAGAAAAATCGAAAGCTAAGAGTGGAGTTTGCTAAGCGTTACATTAATAAACGTTTAGAGTTCTGGAACCAGGTTATATTGTCAGATGAGAGTAAGTATAACATTTTTGGATCGAATGGAGCCAAATCTGCCTGTTAATTGTTTTTTCATTTGTATATTTATTAAACGGGTAATTACACGTATAATGATTATAATACGAGTGTACGAATACTTTTTTGGTATACTGTATGCATTTCTCCCACACTTATATCACTTTCTTGATGTAAATGAACTGGATAATTAATTTTTCTAATAAAATTTATCGTAAATAAACAACATATGTTTTTTTTTCTTCTGTAAGAGCCACTATCGGTTATATCGATATAAATTTAATTTTATTAAGTAATAATTTAGCTCGGAATTATGTTCGAACAATATTTATTAGGAAAATTATAATAATACGTTTGATTTTTATCGCGTAAATTATTACATTTCGATGGACGTTCAGGGTCATTGGGTTTTTAAATAAAACGTTAGAAAAATTGTAAATTCCGCTTCAAAGATGATTAAAATTTTTATTGCTTACCTACAGATATTTCCTTTCTAATTTTGTTTGTTTTTGGTATTTCTACACAACTTACTTTTCTAAAACTATTTGAACAAATCGACTTTCTTCTACAACTTATGAAATCTTGCAGATTTTTCTTTGTCCCATTATTGTTATGAATCTACAACAATCGGTTAACTATTCATTTCCACTAATTTACATTTGAAATACTTGCTAATTAACGAAACTATTTACTGTGTTAATTTACAATTTTTAAAACGTTATGTAAGGGATATTAAAAAAAAAGGGTCAAGTCGAATTTTAAATTATACCTCTGGGAGCTCAAACTAAAAGGTCTAATAAAATTCTCGGATATGAACAGGTGGGTTTCTGTTCTGTGGCTTCATTGTTCATTAAAATATCTTTGATTTTTTTCCAATATCTATAAGTAATTTTAACGAAATGAAATTGTTTTTTATTTCACATTTAACTTCTTATGTATTCTTATAAATTCTTATGTAAATTATTTGAAAACTATAGTGTTATAACAACATTACAATAATGAATATTTGGACAAAAGAAAAATAGTTATGTTTGATTATAAAGTAACATTCGAGTAGTTGAAGCGCGCCCAAAAGACAGTTGGCCCTTAAATTATCTCCGAAATTAAAATACAGGTAGTCAACTGAATAAAAAGGTAGATACCTACATATTGGGGACAGTCCCATTAGGCTTTCGATTTTTATCTCAAACGGAAAAAATACCTTAAAGCTTCTAGATATCTACTTATTTCGAAGATTTACGACACGGCATACCTAGAGGTAATAAACAGCGATTTAATGTTAAACTCAAGCAAACAACCATTAGTTTCCTGTTCAATTTCGTAGATTATTCCGAATTGAATTAAATCGAAACGAAGTCGCCCAGTTTGTTTGGTATGAAAATCGAGATCGAAAAATATCGGATGCCCGGACGACTTAATCCCAAAAAAATATACGTAAAAGACGGTCATCTTAAGCCCGGCTGATAGTAGGTACCATCTATCTCGGTCCAAAATCGCTTTATCTCACTTAAAGTGCTACAAAACTCGCTGTGTGTCGACATTTATATACTTACGTATTGGCATACAATAGTCCAAAAGGTACCAGCAATATGTACACATAATTCCCTCCTTTTTTTAACATTAAATTATACAGTATTGCTTCCATTTAATAGAAACATAATTACGATTATTTCTTGAACAAAAAGCTGTATCATTGCAACAATTTAAACGCTATTACGCTCATTTATTATTTTAATAGATATTTCGTAGCACTTTGATTGCCTATTAACAATCTACTTAGAGCGACTGAATGATTCAATCCGCTTATTTAACACGCTAATTGCTGGTACTGCCTCAACTAAACACTTTCATAAGACATTCCCTAATTTTCGGACGGATTAAGAAATAAAAATTTCTGTTTGTCTCGACGGGAAAGATAACACTGGGCGTTCTTTATATGAATGGAATTTCGCCGAAATGACACGAGGATGAAACTGTTCGGACATTATCTTCCTACGTAACCGACGTTTATTTTTCTTAGCAGAGATGTATTGGAAATATAAACTGAAAATTCAACGGTTACTTCTATAGCCTTTTCTTTTCCTATATGAGACCAATGAAAGTTGTCTTTATTGCACTCATATGTATACACTATATTGAGTATACATTTGCACTTGCTGTATAGTAATTTAAGTAAGTATAAGACCCGAATTCTTGCGTTGAAAAAGCGAATTTCAATCGGGCTGCTCCGGCTACTGTTCGCGTTTTTACTGCCGTTTTTATAGCGTATATATGTATAGTGGGTACTGTCCTGGAGCAGTAATAATATTTAAAAAGACGCGCACATACGTACTAACAAAAGCCCTCTGCTAAAAAAAACCCGAGGTGCATTCTCATTTTTAATATATGCAGACATGCGAGGAAGTACTGTTGTCGGCTCCTCGACGTTCTTTAACTTTTTATTCCTCACTTGGTGCAACCCACGCATCCAGGTAGGTACTCACACTATACTCGCTGCATTCCGAGTTCTCTTCTTACGAGTACCAGGTACGCACACGATGCACTCCGTTCTCGAGTTGGGTATAGGTATATGTGCACATTCCCTGTTTGTTTTCGTTGAATAAAAAAAAGGGTAGGTACCACCCTGCATCGGCCGATTATCTTCGGTGTTGTACAGAGCGTTGATTCCGGTCGGAGCCGAACAAATGGCGACGTTTGTTTCCTAGTCGGAGCTGTCACTTTTTAAAATCTACCTTGACCGGCCCGAGCGCATATAAAAAGCATGAATAATAATTTCGGAATATTTCGTATAGGGAGAGGCAGGTACTTGCCCAGCACGACCACCACATCAGAGGCGGGTTTCGGTATACCAACTATACGCCGGACCGTTTGTAGATATTAACAAGATAGTGCTTGTTTTTGCGAGTTTTTCGCGCATAAATTTCACATAAATTTACCTCTTCCTCTGCGATTCTGCGATTACGCAATGCCACTACGGAGGCGAGCGAATATATATATAAAAAAAAAACGTAATAGCTGGATTAATTGAAGTGCCGCTCATTGACCGCGTTAATCATATTCCCCGATGCGCTTGCGTCTCTAATAGGCGCGATTGTTTCGTGTCACAATATATTTTAATTAAGCGATCGCGAGGTAAAAAGGGCAACAAGAACAACCGGAGGTAGATGGGTAAAAAAGCGTGCGAACCCGTGTTTGTTGCGTTAATGCCACATTAATAACGACCTATTGATATAGTCCACCCACAAAGAAGCGAAAAATATGTACCTACAAAGTACTTCCATATTTATTATACCTAAATCAATACATTTTAATTGAATAGAACCTTCCTATATCACATTAACTTTAAGGTTTCATTTAACTTGAATTCTAATTGGGAAAATCGCTCGTTTTTAACTCCAATCAATCCTTTAAAGAGTCTCTTATTTAATGTAAATAATTATAACCATAGTTACTCCATAACAACAATTTACGACTGTCACAGTCAAGTTAAATTGCTGATTAAATAAATAGCAAATATATTTTGTAACATGGCGGTTGCATGTTGGTTTGGCTGCCGGTTACCGGGCGGACTATAACTGCGATACGGCCCGCAGTATTACTGGTAGTACTGATTAGATAAATTGTTTTATAGTGTAGTCACGGTGCGAACTTACGTGAGAAAATCAATGAATGCGTTTTTCCGAATATATACGCCGAAGGAACTCGCATTGTTTGTTTTGCGATGATTCGCTGATTGTCGAATATGCTTAGACTGGTGATAGTAGATTAACTTACCGGCTGATTTATGCTGCGGGTACTTCGTATCTAATGGTGCCGGTTGCAATCAATGGAGATCGGCGACAAATCAGGAGCACTTCCTTGTTACGTCAATCGCTGTAATTACTGCATAAATTTAGAGTGGACAAGAATGATTAATTATTACATACTTACCAAAAACCGTACACTTATCTATTTTTCATTTTTGAATATTTTGGGCATATTTCATTTAATTTGCCACCTATTCTGATGCTACAGAAATATCAAGCTACCAATTACAGGTTTCTGGTATAAAAAAAATAACATTGACAACTGACATTACAACTGGATCTACCATCTCTGTCGAACTCATAATCACACGTTATTCCTGCGTTTATCTTATTCTCTCACTCCTCTGGCGGTGTATCTACTGAACGCACCCGACAATGACATTTGCTCTGACAATAATGACAGTGACAGTTGGACATTAAGAATTTAAATCAAAATGGAGAAATATTTGTTTAATTCTTGATTGACTCTGCGTGTTACTTCAATTCAATAAGTGTTCATTTTATTTTATTTAAGTTTGAATATACTTACTATTTCGTGATTACTATTACTATAACATTAAAATACCGTGCAGTGGTTAAAAAATATTCACGCCTTCAGTTATAGGTTATGTTGAATAACCTCATGCTTCTGCTGGAAAAGTACTAAAGTACTAAAAATGTCTGAGAACAACACCAACACGTCCACTGCCTCGTCTTTGATTAAAAAATGGGAAGAGGAACATTCGCAACCGAATTACGATCCAGTTCCTACGCTGACAAAGTAAATTATCCACCTTAACCTCACATTTGATCTGGCGATGATTGTTAATAAATCGCTTTATTTTATTGCAGGTTGGCTGAAATTGTTGAAATAGAGACTGAAAATTATATTAAAATGGATCCGGATCCTTTCGATGAACGACATCCATCCAGGACGGATCCTCAATGTGTTCTAGGTCAGGTTCTAAAAGCTATATTTAAGAAAGATAATTTCACTAGCAAGGTAAAAAACTTACAATATTTAGTTACAAGTTAATAACGCTATATTTTTTAGTTAATTAACGATTATTTAAGAGATACATTTTATTCGAGGAATAATATTATTAGGGATATCGATCAGTTGAATATTGCTGCTTGTCGGTTAATGTTGGATATTATGCCAGGATTAGATACTACAGTGGTATTTCAGGTTTGCATTACAATTACTTGTAGTATTCTCTATTATTTTATTTATATTTTAGCCGGAATCTGATAATTTAATATTACGATTAGTGAAATGGGTAACGAATTCTATAGAACCCCTACAAAGTTACGCGACAGGTTTGCTCGGAGCGGCGATGGAAATACCCGAAATAGCCGCCCGGTTTAGGGAACAAAACAGCAAATTGGTGCCTCTGTTACTCCAAAGGTTGCGAAGGTTGAAAAACAGTTCAGAATTCGTCACCAATACCAGCATAAACACATCCAGACCTTTTGCGCATTTGTCCGTTTTGAAATCTCCCCCTTATCGAAGCGAAGGACTTTTAAAATCTCCACCACCTTCGTTTCAGTCGAAGAAAAGTAAGTAAACACCTCGAAAATAATTGAATAAAATAATTAAAATTATTCGTTTTAGGTAAAGAAAATGGCGTGGTAACTCCAGCGGAAAATTTAGTCAACGAAAGTCCATCAACAACTAGTCCATTGGTAATTACTTGCTTCGATTGTAATATATTTATTATCTTGCTTGTATTTTTAGTCGCAAGAGAACGATAGGAAACGAAAGAAGAGCGAAGGTACTCCGAATTCGAGGCACGAATTTGTGGAAGTGAGTTCGACAATTCCCACAAATTTATTTTTTTGATATTAAATTCTCTTTGCAGACCCCGGAGAAACGTTTGAGGTTAGACGAAAACGTACTCTCGGAACCCGTTTACTTGGGAAGCCCGCAAAAAACCAACAACCTATTCACCGAGCACAGCAATTCCTCCTGGGCGGAATTGGAGAATTTCATGATAGGTACTGTACAAATTTTCCCACCCACCATCGCAACCAGACAAATTTTGATATTGAGGTACTGAAGCTCGAGTAATCGCCCCGATTCGATCGATATTTATCACTTGGTCTTCTTTCTCTCCAGGTATTTAACGGCGATGGGCGATCACCAGGAGTTCCTCAGCCACGTGTTCGAACACGACGCCTTGGAATTGATCTTGTGTTACGTGAACGTGAGGCAAACGAAAGAAGCGCGTTTGGCCTTTGAAGCTTTAAAATATCTCTCGGCCCTTTTGTGCCACAAGAAATTTTCTATTGAATTCATACAATGCAAAGGTTTGGAAGTCTTGTTGGAGATCCCCCGACCTTCCATAGCCGCCACGGGCGTTTCGATGTGCTTCTACTACCTCGGTTACTGCGAAGAAGCGATGGAACGAGTGTGCTTGTTGCCTAAATATATCGTGAGCAGTCTCGTAAAGTAAGAAGGTTTATATTTAAATGGTTGTAAATATGTATAAACGATTGTTGTTGATTTTTAGATACGCTCTGTGGTTGCTGGAATGCGCCCACGATTCGGGAAGGTGTCAATCGATCATGTTTTTCAGCTTAACATTCCAATTTAAAGTTATTCTCGAGGAATTCGATTGTCAGGATGGCTTGAGGAAGCTTCACAACGTGGTATGTAATCGACATTGCGATTGGGATTCGAGCAAAGTTATTTCGTTTCCTCAGATATCTACGTTGCCTATATTGTTTCCGGATTGGGATACGCTGCAAATGAACGAAGAACAAGAAGGGGCTTACAGGCAAATCGTCCGGCACGTTTGCGTGGCGTTCCGTCGCTATCTAGAAGCCCATCTCTACTTAAAAGTAGAGGCTTTGAGGAGATCCCAGATGAGGCCGAACGAGAAACCCGCCGTACCGGTACCGGTTTTACCATCGTACAAAGTAAACCCATCTAGTTTATTCGGGTGTTAGATAATAGTGCATCTTCTAAACGCAATTTCAGGCTTGCAAATCGTCGCCCGAAGAAATCCAACAGCAAATCGAGATGCTCTTCCAGAACATGCCTTATCGAAGCCACTGGGCGCCCATCGATCAATTGCTCAAACTCGGCGCCGTCACGTTGCTGTTGAAGATCATCGCGTTCGCCTACGAATGGAACTACAGCGGTCGAGCGGAGACCGTCCGCAGCGCCTTAGACGTGCTGGCTATCTCCTGCGTGATGCCCAAGGTGCAATCGTTGTTCTGCGAACGCGTCGATTTGCCCGAGGAAACGTTGACCGTAGGTAAGCAGCGTAAAAGGCCACCGGAATATTTCTACGTCGATGAAAAAACATAACTTACAGTTCGTTACCGTACTCGCTATTTACATAAGATTTATTTGCATGTTAACCCAGGTCCTTTTCAAGGTATAAATATTATACTTGGAGCCGCCGAGGGGGAGATCGTGGCGGACGCGGACGTGCAAAAGGCGGCGCTGCGCGTCATCGGCAATTGCGTTTGCGCCCCCATACACAGGGTAAGTTTATCCGGTAAATACCGAAGTTCTACCAGCTCTTATCGCAACGTTTTTGTGTATTTCATTACACAGGTGGGAGGTTTGTTGGGAAGATTTTCGACTTGCAACACGACGAATTCGCCCAATAAGAAGCTGAAGTACAAGAGCAGCGAGGATTTGATACAGAAAGTGTGGGATTCCGTTCGAGCGAATAGCGGTATTATGGTGTTGTTGCAGCTGATGCAGATCAAAACGCCCATCACCGATGCGGATTGCATCAGAACCTTGGCTTGTAAAGCTTTGGCCGGTTTGGCGAGATCGGACACCGCCCGGCAGATTATATCCAAATTGCCTCTGTTTACTAGCGGGCAGTTGCAGAGTACGTTGTGAATATTTTATGTAAAAACGTGGTAAAAAGATAAGTGTTTTAGATTTAATGCGGGATCCGATATTGCAAGAAAAACGCCAGGAGCACGTACTATTCCAAAAATACGCCTTAGAATTACTAGTTTTGTTATCGGGCAAAGGAAAGCATACGGACACTAACATCGAAGCGTCTCTAGCCAATATACACAAGGTAAAAATATAACTCTCTGAATACCTAAAATCTTTATTTTATTATTATTACTCTTTTAGGCGAACGTGGTGGCTCAAACGAAGATCCAGTTCTACGACAAGCAATTGTTGCAGTTGATCCATCACCATTTGGTGCAGAAGGGCTTCGCCGAAACGGCCGGCATGTTGGTGAAAGAGGCCAATTTGGCCAACGCCATCACATCGTTGGGCACCCAACATCCCACCAAATTCAGATATTCTTCCACGCTGACTCCTTCCAGGGGGGTGAGTCCGAAAAAATATATTTTATTCGTATTTTAATCGTAGATCCAGAGCAGATTTATAGTAGGATAGAATACATTCGGAGTAGGGTAGGGTAGAGGGAGGAGAGGAGAGTAGATTCAGAGTTGATTCAACGCAAATTTAGAGTAGAATAGAATATATTTGAAGTAGAGTAGAATGGAGAGGAGAGGACAGTAGAGTAGATTCTGGGCAATTTTAGAGTAGAATAGAATATATTCGAAGTAGAGTAGAATGGAGACGAGGGGACAGTAGAGTAGATTTAGGGCAAATTTAGAGTAGAATAGAATATATTTGAAGTAGAGTAGAACGGAGAGGAGAGGACAGTAGAGTAGAAATTCGGAGTGGAGCAGGGTAGAGGAGAGCAGATTCAGAGTTTATTTAGGGCAATTTTAGAGTAGAATAGAATATATTCGAAGTAGAATAGAATGGCGAGGAGAGTAGAGTAGATTCAGGACAAATTTAGAATAGAATAGAATAGATTCGGAGTATAATAGACTACCTGCGGTTCTCCAACAAATTCTATTACACTGCTTTACACATTTTTTAATGTTAATTAATCAAATAAATTATCTTAGGTGAGACTATCGTTTTCATCGCCCAGAACTCTACCGTCTGCGAGTGCAGCAGAAACCGCACCGAATACATCAACAGTAATATGCCAAACTCCTCCAAGCTCTACTATTAAAATTATCAAGTAAGTTTGTTTGTAGAAAAAAATTATTACCTATTAATAATTCGTGTAATTTAAGGAAACCGTTGCCGTTATTACCGACGACTCCCACGCACAATTCGCGTCTACAGAAACAAATCAACGGGGAGCCACACATTTGGAGCGCCGTGCAAGAGGACTGTTCGGCGCCATCGGAACCCCCTCGGGTCACCTTGGATTCCATCATAACCGAGTACCTGACGAACCAACACGCCTTGTGCAAAAACCCGATGGCGATGTGTCCGCAATTCAATCTATTCGTGTAAGTACCGCCTTAAATAACGCCGAGAATTATCGATTTAATCGCTTTATTAGTCCGCACAAGTGCCCGGATCCGAAGCCCAGGGTGTTGACGGCTAACAATTTCGCGATGAGAAGCGTCCGACAGCAGATCGGCAGCCACTCCAGGACGATGGACAGGAAGTTCGTGCATTCGAGGTTTTGTCCCGTGCAAACCATTCGATCCACCACCGACGAAGGGTTCTTTACCTGCGCCAAATTCATGGTAAGCACTCGCGATTGATGCACAATAAATTGGCTAATTCGAAATGTTGTAGCCTGGCGATAAAACTCTAGCTGTGGGCGATTACAACGGCGGTATACATCTCATCGATCTTCACAAAGGCAACGAAATCAACATGTTCACAGCGCACGATCATTACATCGTCCATTTGGAATTGAACAGGCCCGGGAATTTGATGTTGACGAGCTGCACGTGGGGCAAACCCATATCGGCCCTGTGGGACATGAAAACCTTCGAAATGAAGTAATTGTTTACTATAAAATCGAGCGATAATTTAATTAACGACGTCTTTGTAGATTGCCGTTCGATTACGAGCACGTGGAATTCAGCAAGGTCACCCAAGAAAAGATCATCGGCACCCGAGGAGAAGTGGCTACGGTGAGTTCAACATTCATCGACTCTACAATAACTCACGTTAAATGAATTATTAGATATTCGACATAAACACCGGGCAATCCATCATGGAATTGATACCGCGAACGACCAACCAGTACTCGAAGAACCGGGCGACTTTCAGCTACAACGACGAATTGGTACTATCCGACGGTGTCATATACGATGTGGCTTCGGGCAAAGCGATGCACAAATTGGACAAATTGAATCAGACGCAAAGCGGAGTGTTCCATCCCAACGGGCTCGAAGTAAGCACGTTAAATTCCTCTGGATAGATAATTGAATCGATACATTTCGATTGTTTATTTTAGATCATATCGAACACCGAAGTGTGGGATATAAGAACGTTTCATTTGCTGAGAACCGTGCCGGTGTTGAATCAATGCTCCGTGGTGTTTTCGCCCGTGAATACAGCCATTTACGCCTTTTCCTTGGAACAGGAAATGGACGATGGCGATTCTACGTTTGATACCAGTTTCAAAACGGTCGATGCTAACGATTATTCCAGCATAAGTGAGTAAATTGGGACAGTGTAGGGCAGAAGAGGATAGTGTTGGGTACATTTTCTACCATAATTTCCAGGTACTTTTGACGTAAAGAAGAGCATATACGATTTGTCGTGTAACCGTTACGATACGCAAATAGCGATAGTCGAAAACCAAGGGATGTACAATTCGATACAGGAGTCCGTTTTGAGAGTGTACGATGTAGGTAGGCAGAGAGATGATGAGGATGAACAAGAAGAGGAAGACGACGAGGAAGATGACATGGACGGAGACGGAAGTGATGATGATAATTCCGATGGTGACGGTGAGTGTTACGGGTAGTTAATATTTCCAATAAATAATGTACTTACTTATTTTACAGACGGAGATAACGATAATAATGATAATAATGAGAACAACGGAGATGATAATGACGATAATGATGATGATATCGAAAGTGATTCGGAGAGTTGGACGAGTTTATCAACCGATTCGTTAGATAGGCTGCTCTTTGAGTTCTGAGGCAAATCCAAAATTATTTTGGTAAATACTTGTAAATCAAAATACCAAATAGTTGTTTAGATAAAATCGTTTATTTGTGTGATCATTTTCTAAATGTAAGTATATAATATAGTGAGTTTATTTAGGTCTATTTTATGTTTATTTTTTATTGAATAAATTTATGAAATCTAGAGTTTAGGCACAATAATTTAATTTCATACATTGTTCAAGAAACATCTACTAACGAATCGAATGCAGTTTACTTTCATTAGTTCCTAAATTTTCAATTTTTGTATTGTACTTCAAATTGTAAAAAGTTCATAAAGATTGTTAAATATTTTTAAATCGTTTTATTTTTCTAATTTTATACGAAACAGTGTGCGTACGTAATTGTATTAAAAAATCAGTTATTTAAATATATTTGGCAGTCAAACAGCTAATTGTAAATCTTAAAAAATATTACACAATCACAAGCGGAATTTTACAAGGTGTTAATTAATTGATTGCCTATACTTCAGGATATGAATATTTGGATGATTTTAAGTTAGAAAAGTTATTTTTTTCTAAAATTTATACACCCTATAGCTCAAAAACTAAGATGTTTAGGACATATATTAATATAAAAACGTTTCTTAAAATCACCCAAATATTCACTACTTGAAGTATTGACACTCAATTAATTAACACCCTGTTTAAATGCAGTTCCCATGAGTAATCGAACATCATCCAGTTCTCAGTTACACAAATAGTTAATGTCAATTAATTTGTGGCGGTCTATTTGTGACTAGATTAATAACTACTTCATTGTAAATTCCTACAAATTCTAAGAAGCTTACGATATCAAAATTTCTACTAACTTACTATATACATAAATAATTTCGAATCTTAAGTACTTATTAAGAAAAATGATCGATAATGTAATTGATCCACCCTTTGTAATTATAAACAGTGGTGTAAATACCGTATTTCTGCTTCCTGCCGCACCCGTCTCCGAAACTCGTGATACCTTGCACGCTGTAAGCCACCCTCTTGTTTTTCCTGCTGGGACACATCAACCCTCCGCCGCTGTCTCCTGCGCAGGTATCCGCCCTACCCGAGTACCAGCCCGCGCACAGCATGTTATCGCTTATCAGGAACTGCCTGTACGATTTCCTGCAGGTGCGTTGGTGCACTATGGGAAGCTTAAAACCAAACCAATTCTACAGGGTGTTCTCTCGAATTTATGGTAGTAAATTCTAGGGGTGGTAGTTTGCATAATTTAAGAGCGATTCGCAGATTTTATTTTTCCAGAAAAATTATAATAAAGGACATTCGCGCTCGCTAGGCAATGACGTCACAAGCCAACATGTTGCAACGTTGCCGGGTTGAAATGAAAATCTTGATGTGACAGATGTATTTAATTTAAGGTTATGTTTACTTTCATTGTTTAGAAACTAAAAAGAAGAAATGCATTAGGCTGCAATCCGATTGACGGGAGAGGTGTTTATTTGCAACGCTTCACAATCATATAAAACAGAAATATACATTTAAAAAACTATTCGTAAGATTAACAAAACCTATAAATTTCAATGTGCTGAATTATCGAAAATATTGATCGGGAATTAATCGGGAAAAAAGGTCCTACATCGTCCCGTTCCCTCTCAAAATAGGTCGAAAAACACCGAAAATCGCGGGAGAAACTGTCGATAAATGTGCATAAACCGCATGAAAAACTATCTAGAACGAACGAAAAACACAAAACCTACTCATAAACTTGAAAAAATACAGGAAAATCGCTCATAAACAACAAATTGTAGCCATAATCTGTCAAAGTGTCAACTACAAAGCGCCGCTAAATGTTGCGAATGTTGAGGCCTGAATAGTCAGCTGATCGGAATTTTAACACAAAAAACAGATTCGGTGTATTTATCAGCGAGCGGAAATTTCCCCTTCCGCCGTCCAGTTTTCGAAAAACGTTATCGATACCGATCGTTTTCTAGTGCGAATTGTATTGTTTTGATTATAAAATCGGGGTTAAATAGATTTTTGTGATTAGACCTTAGTGATTTATTAGATTGTTTCAGTTCTTAGTTTAGTTAGTTCTTGTTCGTTATAGTGATATTCTGGAACAATTAAGCAGCTTTCAACAACAAAATAGGTGAGCTAATATTCCTTTCGAGTTTAAAGTTTGGACCGCATTTCTTTGAAATATATTTAATATTTCAAATTTTGTTCAAATTACAAAAAATAAAACCTGCGAATCGCTCTCAAATTATGCAAACTACCAGCCTTAGAATTTAGTGCCGTAAATTCGCGAACGCCTTGCATATCACCACCCACTTCAAATTACCGGATACTCACTTTAGCCTCGTGTAAAACGGGTACCCCGTAAACGTCCTCCGGATCCACCTTGCCCCAGCCCATCACCGAGCAAACTTGCTTGGTCTTCGGCCGGCGGTTGGGCAGACACGCCACGGGACCGTCTACGGCCCGCGGCAGCATCAGCAGGGCTATGTCGTTGTCCACCGTTTTGTAATTGAACTTCGGATGGGGGAACATCTTGTACACGGTCATCTCGATGTCGCTGCCGTCCGTCGCCCGGAGATCGTGCGCGTTGAGCCTCACCCGCAGGGACTTCCGGATGCAATGGTTCGCTGTCAGTACCCAACGCGGGGATATGAGAGTACCCCCGCAGAATACTTCCTGCAAGAAAATAACACGTTTTTTAACGAGCATTGTTGTATTTACCTCGAGGTACTCTTTACTGGTACTGTAAGGATCATTCAAGGCAGTTCTAAATGGTTCTCTACAATTCTGATTCGTCCTGAAGCAATCTAATTGATTCTGGACAGTTCTAATTCATTCAGAAGCTTTCAAAACGATTCTGGACAATACTGATACCTGCTGAAGCAATCTAAATGATTCTAGACAGTTCTAATTCGTTCAGAAGCGTTAACTTACTCGGTATTGGTTTAGAACTGCAACGTGCCAAGGCCACTTGTACCTCCTAGCCTCTATTCCACCGATGATCCTTAACATTCTGGCTTTCCTGTTGGCAACACCGCATTTTTTCGCCTTGGAATTTCTTCTCGGCGGTTTGGTGGTGGTGTTTTGAGAGTTGATATGGTCGTATTGGTATCTCTTTGCTAAAAAAATTAGCTCATCGTCTAATTCTACATGGATTAAAATGAGACTTACAGTTGTATTTGTTGCTGTTATTGATCAGATTCAGCACGAACACTTCGCATTTGGTTTTGTTGTGATAGCAGTACGCGTTCTCCTTCTGGATTTTCTTGCCGCACCTGCTGTGTTTCTTGCATTTCCTCCTCCTGTGCGTCCTGCAGTGCTTCGAGCACGCCGACCATTCCGTCCATTTGCTCCAAATGTCCGACGGGCCTTGCTTCACCAGGTAATTGCTGCTCTAAAATCGAATTTACGCGACAATCAAGCGCTCAAATACGTGCTAATTGTACCCACTTTATTCAGATGGACGATTTGGAAATCGTCTTTTCGTTTGAATTTCCTCCTGCACCTCGCCTTCTGGCAGGGTTTTTCCTCGTATATCCTGGAACCGGCGCAGCTCCTGTCGTCGATGCACTCCTTCATTCTTCTTTGAATGCAATCGGAGCACCTGCTCCAAAACGACCAGTCCGTGTATTTGGGCTGGATGTCGAGACTTCGATGGATATCGATGGAGGAATTGCGAGATCGAGCTTCCGTGAATCTCTGCAAAAGTAGCAGGAATAGGTTAATCGCCTGCGAGAGACCTTTATGATGCCGTAGGCGGAACGATGGTTCGAAAAACTTTCGTTTTTCTCTTACGATGTGGGATTTTAAATTAATTAAAGCGTTAAGTGTTTGATTAGACGTTTCGTAATGGTTGTAATTATATATTTTGAAACGAACATCTGTTAAATTAGTTCCATAACATTCGAGCGTTTTCGAAAAAATTATCATCGTGACTAACTAACGGATGCTGGTAAAAAATAAACGAAGCTACCTAATATTTGAAATCTCTTTGAACTATCAAGTTTCTTCGAGGGTCCATTACCCCAGATTTTTACCGATTCGAAGCGGAAAATTTCAGACGATCGTGCGACATTAAAACAATATATCGAGTACCAGCCGGCTATTTTTATTTTTGTCTAAACTATGCAGACTAAAAGTCGTAGGGGCGTAACATCGGAGAATTCCAATTTGACAAAAGAGCGCCCGGTAACCACGTGTCTCATTGCTCTTTAAATTCTGCCTTTGCGCTTATACAAAGGGCTATTTTTAAAATCGAGTGGTCTGGGGTTGGAATTATCTTCCGCGACGATCTAGAAACGCTTGACTAACGACGTTCTTTTATTATTTTCTGCGCCGTCTTTATCGCCCAAATGCACTCTTGGTCTGAATAGGTATAATATTGAAACATCGAGGATAATGAGCGTTTTTACTTGTTTTTATTTGTCTAGGTTGAACACGCTTATAAAGGTCAAGACTGCTGATTTAAATTGCAAATATTCTTAACAGTAATTAACTTCGGTATTGTATCTGTAGAGATTGCTTGAAAAAAAAATCAGGAAGTAATCAATTGATAGAACATACAAAGGTGGGTTTAATATTTTTTTCTTGTACAAAGCAATGTGGTCAATTCTACAAGTTTTTTCCTTTTTTCCTCACTTTTTTTTCTGTATATGAGACTAATGGAAGATGTCTTTGTTGTAGCCATCAGTCTATATTGCAAACAATTTTCCATCTACCTGTATACAATTTCAAGTGAAAAAGAATTGTATAAAACGAATTCCAGTAGGTATTCAGGTGATCTTTCTTGAAAAGAAGCCCACCTGTACGCTATTACCTTACCAACACCGTATCAGATTAAATCCGGTGGAGAAAAAAAACCCAACAAAAGACTCTCCAACCCATCCATCATTTTCTTCGCCGCGGTCGTTAAAAAAGATTATTATTAAATTGGAATTATAAATTTTTTTGTCGCTTAAAAACATCTCTTCTTCGTACAATTAGTACGATAATTGTGTTTACAAATACATCGAAAAGTTCGCATTATTAATACTCGCCGACTACTGCAAACATCGTAATTTGTACTCGTATCAATTCGAATATCTCGACCGATGTCTGGATACATTTACATTACATTTTACGTGCGGGAGCTTTTATGAAACCGTCATATTTTCCGCTAATGTACGTTCGAAAATAACTCCGCAATAACTCCGAGCGGCTACACCATTAGGATCCGCTGGCACTTTGTACTCGTACGTTTCGAATTGGATTTTTTGCACTCATCAGAGACGTCGGCTACGATCTGGGATCTTGATTGAAATGCAAACAATAAAGTTATCTACAAAAATATCGGTTGATAATAATAATACAACGAATCTATTATCTACTAATAGAATGTTTTTGCTGTGCTATTAGTATTCCCCATAGTTCGATATTTTTAAATAATAAAAAATTGATTTAACCCACCACTGATGTATGCATGTACTTCATCCCAGAAGCATATTTTAATTTTGTGTATATGCCAATAAAACCTTGAACCGATCTGAACTTTCCGTATTTTGAAACATTGTATTTTAGACCGCGTATACAATGTGTTTTTTTGCTCCTTGCCGGAGGACAATTTTTATTTTTTTACTACACAGATAAATGTGTTTTTTAAGCGCTCTGACAGCAAACATAATAATCGAGTGTTTACATAATATTTCGTTGATTATTGTAGAAGTTTAATTTCTACACCTTTTCCAGTTGTATTTCAGAAAGCGTCAATTGAATTTAAGAATAGTCACTTATATTTCAAATAATAGTCATCAAATAATAGTCAATTTGATTTCAGAAATCATCAATTGAATTTCAGAATAGTCAATTTGATTTCAGAAATCATTAGTTGAATTTCAGAATAGTCAATTTGATTTCAGAAATCATCAATTGAATTTCAGAATAATCAATTGTATTTAAGAAATTATCATTTGTGTTTCGGATAGTGTCAAAAGGATTTCAGAGTCCCATTTGGAATGCAGAAATCATATCACAGAAGAAGAAAAACTCAGTCCACTCCACAATTGAGATTGAAAAGCTATAGATATTGAAGAATTCCGAAATACAAATGATGATTTCTGAAATGAATTTGACTATTTTGAAATTCAAATGATCGTTTCCGAAATCGAACTGACTATTCTGAAATACAACTGATGGTTTTTGAAATAAAATTTTTTATTCTGAAATAGAATTGATGCTTTCTGAAATAGAAATGATTTTTCTGAAATACAATTGATACCTACTTTCCGAAATATAAGTGACTATTCTGTAATTCAATTGAAGCATTCTTAAATGAACCTGACGCTTTCTGAAATACAATTGGAAATGGTGTAGTTTGATTCAGCTCCTCGACTAAATCGGCTTTTTTGACCATAAAATTCGAAAATTCCCTAAACAGACGCGGCTCATTGAATGGTCATTTATTGTTAATTTAAACATGGAAGAGCATTTAATTCGGCATAAATTCGAGCCATCGCGTGGCCCACGTGCGTCCGGCCCACGGATCATCTATAAAAATTATGAGCAGCTTCGGCGGGTTCCGATCGAAGTGTAGTAATTAAAATAACGGAGAAATCTTACTAGAAGAAAAAAAAATCCAAACGGAAATTAAAATATCGAACGCCCGTAAAGCGCGTGGGTTTTCTCGTGAATGAATCCGAATTGTAAATATTGCTTAATTTATGAATGGAGAATTTCTTATTGTGCACCTTGCGCTGCTCTCTATGCAAATGCACTTTGAAATTCGGTGAAATCGGAGGCTTAGAAAATTCGTTTAAAAATTGAGTTATAGTTTTCGATAATGAATCTACGTGGGGATTTAATAGTGAGAGCACGAAGCGAAAAATTTGCATACGAATTTCGGTTCAATGTACCAGTTATTTTTGGGTACGTGGTTTCGTGTTTCCGAATGAAAACTGCCGGTAAAACTTTCGGAAATTAAAAGCCTATTTCCTCCGAATTTATTCCATAGCGTGCCGCAACTTTTATTCTCATTGCTCAGGAAACGGTCTAGTTTATCCGGAATTTTGATTACGCAACAAAAAAACTATAGCCCGTCAAATGGTGATCGGTGAATCACCGTTTTGATTAACCTTTACAGTAATTTTCAGCGATATTAATTCAGCTAATACAGTTTTACGCAATCGATAAGTACAATACGTCCAATTGTAATGTAATATGTAATTGGAAATCGGAAATTTGGGTCAGGGAACGAGCGAAATGTCGACGCAAATCAACTAGCCATCGACCGATTCATTACAGGAAATCGACGTTTCATCGGCTATAATTCCTTTGTTTTCTTTGGATTTGCATGCGAAATTACACGCACACGTTCCCACGGATGTCGAGGTCGATTCGTCGCCTGTAATTCGGGGATAAAGGACGAAGGAAAGCGCAGGAAAAAACCGCGAGGATTCGACCGGGAAAATCGCAATTCACCGACCTGGCGCCGCGCGTCTGGAAATATTATTGATGGCCACAATTAGCGACTCGCTGAAAGCTGCTATTTTAGGCGAGGAGCTTCTTTAAAGTTCATGACTGAGCTTGCTTTATAACTGGCAAATCTAAATACCGGAATATATACAAAAAAATATATCTCAAACTATCGAATTTTCTATTAAATTAACCACACTATATCAAGTACAAATAGCGAATACGATAAAAACCACGCTTGTAAAGTATTTACCTAACAGTATGGGGCCAATTAAAAAATCCCGGAGAGTCGATTTTCGAAGGCGAAGGTGAATGACGTCTAGAAAACGCACTTACAACGTACGATTCATTGATAAATGGACGTTTAATGGCCGATAATATCCTAATGAATGGTCGTAATAAATCAAAATCGTCGCTTAATAAATAACCGGGCAACGTTGAGCGATTATCCCTATCCTCGACAATATTCGAAAAGTATCGATCGATGTTCGAGCGGCAACGAAAAATCGTGTTTATTAATTGAACAGAATTGGGCATTGTGTACTGAGTAAGTAGGTACGTTGAACTTGAAAATTTCTAAGAAACATTTTGTGAGGATGAGGAGAGACAGCCAAATTGTAATTAGAAGTACTTAAAGTTAAACGAAAATCGTTAATATGTTTGTTTTAAACATGCTGGAATAATTGATTAATTAACTTGTATGGTTTTTATAAGTGTAATATATTCTGATTTGTAAACAATAATAACTTACGTGATCAAAAACAAATCCAAAATGTACGATAGTTAAAATGTACACTAAAAAAACGTCACTCATATTTAACAATAGCGAAGAATGAAGAATAAATTAATACTGCAAGAAAGGCTATAATAGAATCAAGTCCAATACCACGCGTTCCACATTATAATTCGAAAACAAACATAATCGGTTTATCAAAAATTCAACAAAATGATAAAATCGAACGAAACGCGGCCGATTTTTCGCTAGTGACACCGAATCGCCGAAAATTCGCCTTCTCTTATCCGACTCATCTTTCAAGAAACGACGCGTAGAAATTGAAAAAATAATAATACCGAATCAATCGCGCGATTTCGAACGGATTTTACGTGAGCTCCGGCAGGACCGGATGGTGTTCGAAGGATGCGAAAGCCAGACTGTTCGACGGTTTTGTCTGTAAACGCGCCCGGACCGTCACGAACTGCCTAATAAAAGTAAAAATTCCGCGTGGAAACTTGATTCCGTGGATGGCTGGTGCGATTGATAATCGTTACCCAACCTACGGGGTGTAACAAGTAACAACACGGAAGTACATGAAGGATTTTAATTTTTCGTCTTGTCAACTCCATCCTGTATGTTAGTTACAAATTGAACATTTCTATATAGCAATTTTGTATTGCTACAAATTTCTCGGATTCGTTTCAATCAAAAAATTATTTCGAACATTTCCACCATAATCAAATACTAGGTAACAAATAAAACATTAACTAAAAATACCAAGAAATTTACGATTACAATTCGTAATAAGAGTAGGTATAATGTACCTAGATATTTTAGGAAAGATAAAATATACTCACGTCGACGGTCAGTAACTTTATACATAATTTTACTATCTCCATTCTATCGCAAGCCGCATGATTTAACGAATTCCTGCCAGTTTTACGCACTCCGCAAATAGTTTTTATTGAACTTGGTTTCCCGGAAAGCTTCTCTCTAAAGAAAGATTTTTAAATTTCCACGGAAAACCTGCACTATGTTAGATAACAAATAATTGTACCCACAACAACGTTTTCCTGTTTATGCCTATTTAGATTTTTTTTAGTAATGTAAACCTTATTTTCTTACCACTCTTTACCAATTTTAATTATTGTATAAATTGCGTAAAAGTACCCGGAAATGTTTGCGTTTATTGAAGTAACAAGTAGGTAAACAATTAATGATGCGCAAAATTTAGTTTGCTATGATATATTTGTTTCATTTATCTTATCAGTTTTTAAATAAATAATTTACAGGATCCGTAAAATTGTTATAGGTATAATCGTATATAGCCTCCGAACGAGTAACATTAACTTTAATGTTCATTAAATAAATGGCACCAATTTTTGGGAAATTACTTAATTGAATTCCATTTATATAAATTGTCACATTCACAAATCGACGCAGATCACCTTCGTTTTATCGTTAATAGATACCATATATCTACTTAATACATAAGATATCAAGATAACTCGATAATTGATTTAGGTATAGGTATAAAATTCGTTAAGTAACAATCTCCTTCACAGCTACTCGAAATTCACCATTTTCGTGATATTCACCGACGGCGAGGCGACTATCTCCTTCCAAAAATCGCTGTGCCTGTCGATTTCGATCTTCCCCAGCAGGGTCTTCTTGCCGACGAGGTTCCTCGCCATCAGCCTTATCAGGATCTTCGTTTGGTTCAGGTTCCTCTTGTTCACCGTGGCCCTCAACGTCGAAGTGCTCGGCTCCAGTTTCAGGCTGATGGTGGGCTCGAATTTGTCGCTCTTCATCTTCTGCACCAGGTCCTCGTCCTCGAACGCCGTGATTTTTATATAGAGCTGGCCTAAAATGTACCATTAAGATGAATAACTTCGTCAGTTAACATGAAGGGTAAGGATCAAGAAGGAAATCCTTTAGGAGGAAGGTTGGAAAAAATGATTTAATAAGGGATTAATTACCTCCGACTTTTTCGTGTAATTGCATAGTTTGCAAGCTGCAGCGGAATTTCGTAATTGTAACTTCGACGACATCGTTGGTTCCGTCTTCGCTGACGCCGTATTGAAGGGTTACCTCTACGCTACCTTTGATTCCGTCTCTCTAAAGAAAATTGGATTAAGTTTGGATATTGAGTGCAGTTTTTTCTGGAGCACGTAATTAGTACTTATATGATATTTGGAAACCTTAGTTCCATCGGTTCCGTAGTGTAGCGGTTATCACGTCTGCTTTACACGCAGAAGGTCCCCGGTTCGATCCCGGGCGGAACCACTTTTTTATCGATTTTAATTTTTATTAATAAACGATTTTACTAAAAGCATTTTTACCTTCAAGTACCGGTATAATCAACTCATCATAATCCCAGCACTTTCGATTAGATAATTGCCGATAAACGGCTTATTATTTATCTAAAATTATACCAATTCGCCAAGCCTACTCGACTAAAATTGTGCGCGGCTATTTCGGTCCGAAAAATACATAAATTTTCATTGCGAATTATAGGAAGCTTCTTATTATGTAGATAGATTCACCTAAATAGACTTATGTAAGCGCATCATTAGAAATGAAATTGCATAATTTGTTGTGGCAAAATTAAGCTCTCAAATGCGCCATTCGCCAATACATAGACGTTCTAAAAATTACATCTTGGTATCATTTTATCAACATCCTTGTTAATAATGTACTTTTTACAATTTGTTTAATTAAGCGTAGGTATAAAAATGTATAAGATCGACAGGTAGTATACTCACCGGTTGAGTTTGAATTCCGCTGGTAATATCAGTAACATTTCTCCAAATATCAGGGGTACTTATCACATTGTTTCGCAATTTTTGAGTAAAAGATTTCCTATCTAACTTGTAAGTAACGGCTCCTAGAGAAACGTTTAAAAAGAAAATAAATTACGCGGTTCGAACGGATTCAACTGCTTCTAAATATTACCTACAGTCCTTCGATTACTCAAGCATCCGTTGTAGCTGCTCCGTCTGAGCGTTCCCGATCTCCTGAAGCTGTTCTTGCGCAGCGAAATGATCTCCTCGCCGTCGCTGAACGAGAAGTACTTCTTCAAGATGCTCTTCCGCTTCACCGGCGGCCGCTCCTCCTCGGTCTCTTTGCCCAGCACGGCGTAAATCGTGAAGGACACGAACAGCCCTTCGATGTCCTCGAATCTCTTCGAACCGTCCAAGATGGAGGAGAATTCCTCGTTGATCGTAGGCCACGATTCCTTGGCCGTTTTCGTTTCGAATTTCTCCCTTTTCGGGTAGAATACAACCTGAAAGTAGTGTAAAATATTGCGTTTGTTTGCCATTAAATTTTGGCGAGTCGAACGTAAAATTCCAAATGTTAACAGAAGTTTGAAATCTGGTAGAGGAGATGAGGTTTACAAAAAGATTTATGTGTTTTTTTTATGGTTTTGTTGTGTAAATAAAGTATGTTAATGGGGATTTTTAATAGAAGTTTTGCTTCAATTTTAGATATTTAAGATTGGGAAATATTTATACAATCGACCAGAAGTGGACAGTTCTAACTGGTTTTCTAGTAGTTTTATATTCGCTGTAACTTTTCTATTTACTCGATACAAACATTGAGCTAAATTCGCTGGTTAATTAATCCGCAAATTCCCACGAAAAAGTCAAATCCATAAAAACACGACGCGCTTTTAATTCCACTTAATTACCAATTAACACGCATATTTCATAATTTCTACGAATTCCATTTACCTTGACGAGATACCCCCTGGGCTTGACGCTGCCGTAATCGGTGGGCAATTGCCGGGCGCCGATGACTTTCACCTTCAGCTCCTTGGTGGCCTCGCAGAAGGACGCCCTGAAGCCGATCTGCGGCGCCCTGGCGGCGTCGGCGTCGGCCGGCGTCGGCGACGTCTTCTTCTTGAAGTAGTTGCGGACCGTGCTGACAGTCTCCTCCATGTCTTCCTCCCCGACGCGTCAACACATGACTGAGCAAATGGAGGCCAATTGAAGACAATTTAATGAATTGAAAAGGACAACAATACGCTCGTTTGTTAAAATTAGATCGAAACGCAGGGCCGTACTCGTAGGATGTTGTTGTTTTGGTTATCGAGGAAGTTTTTTTTTTGGAAGTTTTCTGCGTAATATTATGGAATAATTGAGTGTTTAGTGTTTGATTTAAATTAATTTTCGAGTGCATCTATGAGGGAAAATTTATTCAGTACGAACCTGAATTTTATTAAATGCAGTAGTTATTATTTTTAATAAATATAGGTTATTCACACAGTCGCATCGAAAATCAATGAACGTATTAAATGCGCTAATTAATAATGAATTCGATTTTGGATAAGATTTTTTATTATATATAACTTATACTGGTTGTTTAATTTATCAGAGTCATAAAATACTCAATTTTCTGCATGTGTATCATAAATTTATGGCAATAAAAATTTTCGGCGAATTAGTCAAAAATTGTAATAAACACGCGTTGTTATCTGAAGGTTATATCTAACAAAATTTATGAATCGAATATTTTCACCTCTGACTTACCTGTAATTAATTATTTATTCAAACTCGCGCAAATTAATCAATCAACACTAACCACAACTTTTTCAAATCGCTTCAATGAATTTTCTCGTTTGAAAATTTTTGATTTTTCCGATTTTTTTTTGACCGAATCCCGCAGTGAACTGTATTGATCTGGGGTACATAAAACGCGGTTTATCTCGTTTATCTTATCTCTGCCCACTTTTATTGCAAATACTTCAGTTAAAATCGAGCAGCTAATTAGATAATTTTATTGGTAGCAATAACAGCGGTAATGAGACCGGCCGCCTACCGGGAGTTCTCGATAATTAATCGATCATTCCGGCACGTCCAGATACAGGGTGACCTCATTAACCGTTGAACTGTCTTCGTATGCTAAATCGAAACATCAAACAGACCCACCGCACATAAAATAGTTTCGCGCATTTACATTATTTAGATAAAAGTAAAAACTGACGCAATTATTTCTTATCTATTTGCAGGAGATTTATAAAATACCGATAAAAATTTGATCTACTTTATTCATATCGAATTTTACCCGCCAAGCTTGATAAATAAAGACGTGATTCGGTAATGTAAACATTTATTGTTTTCCATTTGTTATTATTCATTTATTTAGTTTTAATGATATTCTATATGTATAAAGGTAAAACGATTTGATAATATTTTTACAAGTAGATACAGACCGATAGAAATAGCTACAGACGCGAGATGTGCGGATGATTTAGCGCAAAAAATAAAATCGGTTTATAATTTCATCTATTCCAATATGAATGGATGTAACTTTTGGGCGCCAAAGGGAATATAGATTTAAATTTATTTTAAATATTTCAGATAGCAAAGGCACTCAGCGCGTCACTCAGCGGATCAAAGGGAATCAAAGTCAGGTAAGTAAATAAAACAAAGTTAATAAAAACAAAATTGATATACATAATAAACTTTTCACACTCCAACAATTATATATTAAATAAATAGCAATTCTTCAAATAAACAACAACTCAATCAATCATCTATGTCAGGTTTTTCGACTTCATCTTCCATCTTCAATTTCTCCACCACTTCATCGAACACAACTGATTTTTTGCGCTCTTTAGCCGAGCCGTCCGTGCTCGATTCGTCTTCGTCTTCATCCTCATCCTGCCTTTTGAAAATAAAGCCCGTGGGCCTCCTCCCTTCGATGGCCGAAGATCTGCTTGACCTAATCGAATAAAATTTCACCAAATGTAGAGTAGAAACGCAATTCACTTACTTATCAGAAGGTCTAGATGTACTCTCGAATCTAACTTCTCTCTTCTCTATGTACTCGTCTTCCGTCATTTTAGCTTCATTCTTCTTCCTGCAAACATCGCGGTGATTGAATGAAGTGATTATTAAGATTATTAAGCGTGTTTACCTTAATCTTAAATAGTAGAAAGCAACAGCTGCTAGAATTAGTAGTACTATAAGTACTGCTAGCAGGGAAATTGAAACAATATACTTGGTGGCTTTGAGCGTTTCGTGATGGTCGTTGTCCAATTGGACGGTTAGCGAGGCTTTGGAAGTTTCGTTTGTGTTCACAATCGAGGCCACTAGAGTAAGAGTGATGAAGGGTTTCGAAGTAATATTTTCCTGAGGTATCTCGCGCGTTAACTTTACTGTAACTTCCTGGTTTTTATAATACGCTGTGAAGTATTTACTGAACGCCGAATCTTCTATACTGGCTTTAATTTCATCTTCTTTTCTATCGGTCGTTAAACCGATTGAGTTATCCAGTGTAAACGAGCCCTGGAGGTATTTGGCTGTGTTTGAAATTTTATTGAATAAAACCACACCGTTCTTGACGGGTGTATCGTCTGTAAACCAATTGATTATTTTCCTTAAGGGATATTATATTGTATTCTTACCGCTTATTATCCTCAAGTTTATTACAGCGTTGGCTATTTTATGTGAAAGTCCATTCATAGCTTGCACTACCACTGCAACTGTAGAGAAATCTTCAATTACGCTGGCTGGTATCGATTTCGCCAAGTTTAATGCAACTGACGAGTCTTTGGCATTGTAAGTTAAACTGAAATACTCCTTGTAAGCTGTAATATAAAAAGTTAAATGATTCGAAATTTTTCGAGGTATCGGCGATTTACCGTTAGTTATCGACACAAAAATATTTTCCGGGCTAGTGGTAATTACATTTATCGGATCGCAGGTGATTTTATTCACGTTGTTTCGGTTTTCGTAAGTTCCCATGTACACGACGCTGTTGAACTTGATGTCATCTCCCGATTCAACGGCCGAAAGATCGATTATCAGAGTGGCGTAATTTTTGGTGTTCTCCAATTCGACCATTAACGTTACGATAAGATTAGTGAATTTCCGCAAAATGTCGATGGTAAGAGGCTCCCGAGCGACGATTTCGAAGTGGTCAGTTTTCTTCGCGATTTTGAAGTATTTCACCGGCTCGAAGTCGCTCGCACCTATAATAGAATTCGATTCGGGTCATGCAATTGGCGTGGAAAAGGCGATGATATTAGCTCACTTTGGATCCTCACTGTGGCCTTTGTAACGTCTTTTGTTGAGGTGACTCGTATGTATTCATTCAATTTAACGACGGGCGTGTTGTCGACGATGCGATAGGAAGCCGAGTAATGCGCCCGCGAGAATTGTATGTCGTTTTTATTTTTGCTCTCGTCGATTATTTTGATTATGGCGGTGGTTTCGCCTTGTTTTGGGTTGTCGTTTTCTTTAGCCGTAATTGTTAATACGATTTCATCGTTGTTGGTAACTGTGAGTTTATCGATAGGATTGGTCAGTAGCATCTTCCAATTTTTATCAGCTTTGTCGTAATTTACAGATAAATATTTGGAAAAATCTGTAAAAATAAATCGAATAACACTAATCTAATTTAACGAAAATGTAGCGTACGCTCACCTCCATCTTTCGAAGAGAAACTTAATTTTAATTTGCTCTGGTCTTTATTGACTACGTTAAAATCGATTATTTTAAGGGTACCGTCGGCGACGTTGTAAGTACCGACGTATGGATTGGCGGAAAATTCCGGTGCTATGAACACCGGAAATTCGATCACCAAACCGGCCAATCCGACCTCTGTCTTGTTATTGCTTTCTGTTGCTGACAATGTCAACACTAGATTATTCTTATCTCCCATTGTCTTCGGTGTAGACTTGACTTCAACGTACCACGAACTGGTAGCGGCATCGAACTTCACATCGAAATTATCGCTGTATTCTAAAAAAATCCAAGAAAAGAAAGGATTAATATTTCAAAAACTTTTTTGAACTGTCTAGAATCATTTAAAAATCTCTAAACTTGCTAATTGGTACATAATACAGGAGACAGTAATCAGTACTTAATTCAAAGTACATAAAGAATTGTCACATAGTGTAGTTTGAGCTCACCATCTTCTTGTATGGCAACTACAATATTTTTCAAATCTTCTTTCTTCCTATTGGTTACTTTAATTTCGATATCCAGTTTGGTGGTATTCGCAGAGCAGAGGGATCTATAGGAAATATGATCGAATTTGGGAGCCTGATCGTCGTTGATTTTCGGTAGAGTTAATAGTAATGTGGATTTTCCAACGTCTTTTATCCCCAACTCGTTTGCCACCAATTGCATTATGATGTCATTCCCGCTACTAAGAATGGACGCATTTAAGGGTTTTTTAACTAAAACGGTCCACTTCGACTGCAAGTCCAATGAAAACTCAAAGAATTGGTTATAACCTGAAAACAAAGCAATACCAGTGACGATATAATTTAAAAAATGATCTATCTCTAAACCTACCGGAATCCGGAATTATTCCGATATCGGTATGGCCCACTTTATTCGAAAAGTGGATGTCTTCGTCTAAAATAACTTTACCGACATCTTTAACCACTTCGTAACGGCCTTTGTAGTATGATTTCTCGAATTTCGGAGCATCTTTTGTATCTGCAGGCGGTAATTTCAGATCGATTGTGGAATGGGCCTGCAACATATCGGTGATGTCTATAGCTGTTATGGTAACGACTAAATTCGTTTTGTACAAATTTGTACTATCTAAAGGTTTGTCGACTATCATCTGCCAGCTGTTGGTGGAGTATTTAAAAGTGAAGTAGCCGGAAAAGTCTGGAAGAAGAAGACGAATTTTGGATGTACTGGACACAAGGAATCTTGTAAATTTTTACCGTCTGAAACTATATTTATGTTTGCCATGTTTGGTTTGTTTTTAAAACCAATGGAATCGGTGAATGTCACAACAGGATGGTTTTTTTGTATGGTATATTCTGCTTTGAAGGAAGTTTTGCTAAATACCGGTGCTTGTTTCTTCGGTAGCTTTAACACCACAGTAGCGGTTAATTCGCTACCTATACTGACAATTTTAGCGGTGAGTTTAGTAACAAGGTATTCGTTTTTGCTAATAACCGAATCGTCTAATGGAGTTTTGATATCGATCTGCCATTTTTTTGCAACGGAATTGTATGTAATGTTGAAATTACCGTAATAATCTAAAAGTAATAAGTATATAAAACGTAACAGAGGATATATCCAACTTACTATCTAAATACAATTGTACGTCTTTCGGATCAACGTTCTTAAAATCCAAGTCATTGTCGAAATAGAAAATTCCACTGCCCCCTACCGGATATGCGGCTGTGTAATAATCATTGCCGAATTGTGGCACATTCGCGACTAAATCTATCATCAAAACAACATCTCCCGCTGGTATAACATCGGGTAGAGAAGCCTCCATAGTATCCACTAAAGTCGTACTTGTTGCAAAAACTTTGTCGTCTAACGCTCGATCGATTAGGATTCGCCATTTTTTGTTGTTATAAACCAATTTGAAGTTGTCCATGTACGCTGAAATTTTAAAAACATCGCTCGAGAAACTCGCTAAATCAATTTAGATTACTTACTGTAGAGATTTATATCGACAATGCTAATATCTGGGACGTTGTTAAAGGCGATGTCGTTTGTAAAATCTAAGAATCCCGTTTGACCTTGCTTGTAAACGACTTTGTAATATAGATCACTAAATTCTGGTGCTTTATCTTGAGAATTGTTGATGGGAATTTGGATTATTAAGACCCCCACGCCTGTGACACCCATTTCTGTAGCTTCCATTGTTGTGTGAAGTTCTGCATTATGTTTCAAAATGGCATCATCTAGAGGTGCTATAACTTTGATTCTCCAAACTTTTTTAGTTGCATCCAGATCCAGCTCGAAATATTTCGAATAATCTACATATAAAAAAATGGGTTATTCAAAAATGTTGATAACCGATATTGTCCAAATGTCCTGGTTATTGGCTAACCGATTAAACTTAGTGTAATTTTGGTGATAGGTAAATACTTTACTCAACAGGAACAAATAACTTTTTAATTTAGCGCATTAAACTTGTAGGTTGTATCATTTATTTTGGGAAATTTATTTTTGTGTGTTTTGTGTCAATTTGTTTTCTCCACTCACCACTTAATTTCAACACAGCTTTGTCGACGTTGATGTTGTCAAAAGCTATAGCCGGACTAAAGTCTAAATAGGACCCAGCTTTCTGATCTTTCTGATATTGAACGAGGTAATAAGGGTTTTTAAATTCAGGAGCTTCTTTCTTTGCACCGGTAAGTTCCAGTATCAAAACACTGTAACCTGTTCCTGTTAATCCTTTTTCTGCAGCTTCCATTTTAATAGCAATTTCCGTTAAATTTTCCAATATGCTTTCATCCAATGGTTTTGTAATTTTCAACTTCCATATGCCATTATCAAGTACCAATTCAAAGTTATCAGAACGATCTTCATAAAAATTATAAATGACGATTTTAAAGAAGGTACAAGAACTTTTATTACTTACCAGATAAAGTTATTTGAACACTACCGACATCTACATTAGTGAATTTGATGGCAGGTTTAAAGTCCATGTACTTCACTGTAGTGTTGTATTGAACAATATAATAAGGGTCTTTAAATTGAGGAGCTCCTGCAGTATTATCCTTAAGATTCATTACAAGAACACAATCACTTTTTTTCGTAACTCCGTCTTCGGAAGCTTGAATAGTTGTTACAAGTTCGTTTTGTAACAGTAATTCGTCGGTTAAAGGTTTTAGTACTTTTATTCTCCATTTTTTTGAATCGAAATCCATTTGGAAGTAATCTTTATAATCTATAGTAACGAAACATATTTCAATTATGTATGTGTTACTTTGTGATGTATTTGTATTTCTGGTGTTTTGAGGTGTTGCAGTGTATTTTTTTATCATAGTTGCTTTATTTATTGTGAGTGTGTACTAGTGTGGTGTTCTTATATCAAATTTTTGTACTCACCGGTATTAATCACTAGTATAACTTTATCAACATCAATGTTATCAAAAGCTATAGCTGGATTAAAATCTATATACGAATTAGTTTTCTGATACTGAACGAGGTAATAAGGGTTTTTAAATTCAGGAGCTTCTTTCTTTGCACCGGTAAGTTCTAGTATCAAAACACTGTAACCTGTTCCTGTTAATTCTTTTTCTGTAGCTTCAATTTTAATAGCAATTTCTGTTGAATTTTCCAATATGCTTTCATCCAGTGGTTTCGAAAGTTTTAACTTCCATATGCCATTATCAAGTACCAGTTCAAAGTTATCAGAACGATCTTCACAAAAATAATAATTGACAATTTTAAAGAAGGTACAAGAAAATTTCATTACTTACCAGATAAAGTCATTTTAACACTACCGACATCTACATTATTGAAGTTAATGGCAGGTTCAAAGTCCATGTACTTCACTGTAGTGTTGTATTGAACAATATAATAAGGGTCTTTAAATTGAGGAGCTCCTGCAGTATTATCCTTAAGATTCATTACAAGAACACAATCACTCTTTTTAGTAACTCCGTCTTCGGAAGCTTGAATAGTTGTTACAAGTTCGTTTTGTAACAGTAATTCATCGGTTAAAGGTTTTAGTACTTTTATTCTCCATTTGTTTGAATCGAAGTCCATTTGGAAGTAATCTTTATAATCTATAGTAACGAAATATATTTCAATTATGTATGTGTTACTTTGTGATGTATTTGTATTTCTGGTGTTTTGAGGTGTTGCAGTGTATTTTTTTATCATAGTTGCTTTATTTATTGTGAGTGTGTACTAGTGTGGTGTTCTTATATCAATTTTTGTACTCACCGGTGTTAATCACTAGTATAACTTTATCAACATCAATGTTATCAAAAGCTATAGCTGGATTAAAATCTATATACGAATCAGTTTTCTGATACTGAACGAGGTAATAAGGGTTTTTAAATTCAGGAGCTTCTTTCTTTGCACCGGTAAGTTCTAGTATCAAAACACTGTAACCTGTTCCTGTTAATCCGTTTTCTGTAGCTTCAATTTTAATAGCAATTTCCGTTGAATTTTCCAATATGCTTTCATCCAGTGGTTTCGAAATTTTCAACTTCCATATGCCATTATTAAGTACCAGTTCAAAGTTATCAGAACGATCTTCACAAAAATTATAATTGACTATTTTAAAGAAGGTACAAGAAAATTTCATTACTTACCAGATAAAGTCATTTTAACACTACCGACATCTACATTAGTGAATTTGATGGCAGGTTCAAAGTCCATGTACTTCACTGTAGTGTTGTATTGAACAATATAATAAGGGTCTTTAAATTGAGGAGCTCCTGCAGTATTATCCTTAAGATTCATTACAAGAACACAATCACTTTTTTTCGTAACTCCGTCTTCGGAAGCTTGAATAGTTGTTACAAGTTCGTTTTGTAACAGTAATTCATCGGTTAAAGGTTTTAGTACTTTTATTCTCCATTTTTTTGAATCGAAATCCATTTGGAAGTAATCTTTATAATCTATAGTAACGAAACATATTTCAATTATATATGTGTTACTTTGTGATGTATTTGTATTTCTGGTGTTTTGAGGTGTTGCAGTGTATTTTTTTATCATAGTTGCTTTATTTATTGTGAGTGTGTACTAGTGTGGTGTTCTTATATCAAATTTTTGTACTCACCGGTATTAATCACTAGTATAACTTTATCAACATCAATGTTATCAAAAGCTATAGCTGGATTAAAATCTATATACGAATTAGTTTTCTGATACTGAACGAGGTAATAAGGGTTTTTAAATTCAGGAGCTTCTTTCTTTGCACCGGTAAGTTCTAGTATCAAAACACTGTAACCTGTTCCTGTTAATCCTTTTTCTGTAGCTTCAATTTTAATAGCAATTTCCGTTGAATTTTCCAATATGCTTTCATCCAGTGGTTTCGAAAGTTTTAACCTCCATATGCCATTATCAAGTACCAGTTCAAAGTTATCAGAACGATCTTCACAAAAATTATAATTGACTATTTTAAAGAAGGTACAAGAAATTTTATTACTTACCAGATAAAGTCATTTGAACACTACCGACATCTACATTAGTGAATTTGATGGCAGGTTCAAAGTCCATGTACTTCGCAGTAGTGTTGTATTGAACAGTGTAAAATGGTTTCTCGAAGTTCGGAGCCTTATCATCTTTTGAAGGATCCGAAAGGTTTATCACTAATACTCCAATACTTTGCCCGGAGATTCCGGATTCCGATACTTCCATAGTGATTACAATATCGTTGATTTTACTGAACGTGTCATCGTCTATTGGCTTGAGTAGTTGTATCCTCCATTTATTCGATTCCAGCAAAACTTTGAAGTTAGCCTCGTTCGCTAAAATGGTAACATATGTTTATTTGGACCAAAAAATCACATACTAGATAACTTACAGTCTAACTTTATAGCGACATTCTTCAGGTTAACGACGTTTTTAAGTGAGACGACTTGATCGAAATCAATGTAATCGTTTACTTTTAGTCCTTTTTTGTACACGGCCGTGTAAGAGGGTTTTTCGAAAGTAGGCGGTGAACCAGGCTTCAGCTTCACCAACTCCACTACCAATACAGCGTTCCCTTTAGCAGCAACATTTGTTTTCACCGCCACCATGGTCTCCACTAGTTCGTTATTTTTCAGGAAGCTAGAGTCTAGAGCCTGCAGGACTTTCACGCCGAATTTCTTTGTTGTAGAATCGAAGGCGACAGTGAAGTATTTCGCGTATGCTGCAAATGTTATAATCATGAATAGTATCCAGCTTATAACAGAGTTTTATTGCGCTTACTTTTCAAATCGATTTTTATTGCGGAAGGATCGGCGTAGTTTACAAAAGACGGTGGAGTATCGAAATCGAGAACACCCGATTTTTGGCCCTCGTTGTACTTGATTTTGTAGGCGAGTTGCGAAAATTTCGGAGCTTCGACGGCCTTTTGTTGCGGTAAAGCCATCTTGACGACGGATCTAGCTTGATTGTCGTATTTATCGCTAGCTGTTAGGACAATGGAAATTTCAGTTTGCGTTTGGAGTACGGCGTCCGGTAGATTGCTAATTAGTCCAAGGGCGTAATCGCCTTTGCTGGTGGGCTTTACTTCGAAATTCTTAGAATACGCTGGAAAAAAATTACCAATTTCCAACGAATTGCTCGTTCTTCTAAATTACTCACTGTCTTCGACTTTAACGCTAACTTTTGAATTGGTAACGTCGGATGCAAAGCTTATAGTACTAGCTGCAATGGTATTGTTTTCGAAGTAAGTTGCTGTGTATAAAACTTCCTTAAACTCCAATGTATGCTCGGGTAAATATACAATTACACCGGTCGTGTCGGATTTTGAATCCACAGTAACCTCTATTGTCAATGATAGATACTCTTTAGATTTGATTTCAGTCGGTGTTAAAGCCTTATTCACATCCAACAAATAGGATTTCTTATCATCGTCGAGTTTTATCTCGAAGTTGCCAGAGAAATCTTGAATTAAAATTGATTTAATATCGTGACTCCTTGGGTTTACAATTATTACCTCCTGTTATTTTAAATGAACTCGTCGATAAAGCGCTGGTAGACGAAACTGTGATATCCTGATCCAAGCTGATTTTATTAGTAGAATCGTCGTATTTTCCAGTATACAAATGCTGGTTGAATTTCGGAGTATCGTCCTTTGGTGCATTGGCAAAGTAAATCACTACAGGCGCGCTTACTTTTGCATCAGTTTGGACGTTTAAAGAGAGAACCACGAACGCAGAAGTAGGATTATCTATGTTCGTTTTAATACTAACTTTTATAGTGGACGATGAGGTATCGAATGTTGCACCAAAATTGCCAGATAAATCTAAATAGAGTATGTAAAGAAGTTTAATCGTTCCTTAAATAAAGCATCGCTTAGGAAAATTACCTCCGCTCAATGATATAGACTTTTCCAGATCGCTTGGTTTGTTGGTAGTAACTTTGATTGGACCATTGATCGTAGTTAACGTGTGGTTTTTCTCGTATCGAAAGGCGTACTCGTATGATTTACTGGTATATTCGAAATTCGGGTAATCAACAACATTATCCGGATCCACTTTTAATGTCACTTGTAACGTGGAAGAAAGAGGACCTGGAATCTTTCCGGAATCCTGGAAAACAATAATATTTATTTATGGTTTCATTACACCACAAAAAACTTACAGTTGCGGTAATCGTGTACTTCTTATCTTGCGTGAGTTGCAACACTTTATTAGCCTTGAAATTCACTTTGAATTTTCTCGGTTTGTCATCAGTAATGGTTTTGACGATGTCGAAATCGTCGGGATCTATTTTAAACGTGATATCCTCGTTACCGAAATCTTTGTCAGTCGCGTATATCTCTGCACCGTAAACGGAAAAGTCCGCTTCTTTCATGATAGGCGAGCTCACTTTGTAGACGGTATCGCCCGTGGAGAAATCCGGCCGGAAATCGTTGTAATCTTTCACAGTTATAGCGAATGGCTGAAAATAGGAACTACTATTGATGGACTATTGTTTGGTTGCCTAGTTTGATAAAATTGTTGCCTATAGAAAAAATTACTAACCAAGAGGCTAGGTGTAGTAGGATTTTGGCATGTCATGTTGCATTTATAAAACAATAACAACGATGGTTGTGGTTTACTCAAAATCGTATTGATGTCTTCGTCGAAGTTTTTCAATGCATCCGTTGTTTCCACTAGAAATTGTGTAGTTTTAGTATCCAACGTTGCTTGGAAATAAGTTTCTTTGCATACACTGTTTGGATTGTCTATAGTGCAAGAACACTTTAAGTTATCTGCAAAAAAAGACTTATTTTTGTAAATGTTGCTATAAAAAATGACGCATTGTTTCATACCCAATTTTCCTGTATATGTGCCATTAAATATTCTCTTATTTATTTCGTTATCGTTCATATTAGACTCATAACCGAGAACCCAATCAACTGAAGGTATACCGGTTATATCACATTTACTATCTGAAAAAAATGTAGCAGAAATATCTAATATAAGCAGAAATTTATTAAGGAATCTATACCATTATCTGAATACAGCGATCCCACTGAAAAAGCGCACAGAACAAACACTTTCACCCACATTATGATATTAGTTTTCGAAAAACGCACATAAGGCCAGGAATATTTTTGAAATACTAATTAAACTAAACACTACGATTAATTTTTGCTAATAAATTGATAAATTATGAGCGCATTGTTCACTCCGTTCTGTTCGATGATCAGCTATATCTTCATGTAGATAAATGAAAATAACTACTATCTATGTATATATTTTAAAAAATCGACGCATCTCAATTAACAATCAATCTGCCGATAAGATTATTTATTGGCTCGATAAGATTATTTTTCCAACAATTTTATTGTGATTAAATGTATGAAAATAACTGAATTCAATGAAACAAAAATTTTATTTTTTAAGAACTCCATAATAACATATAAATTGGAAACAAATTCCAACTATAGACTAAGTATAATAAATTTGCCCCACTTTACCCCCCGAAAACATAGAATATATGCGACATTAGGAAGCGAATTTTACGCTTACGCTTACTTAAATTACCTACTAAATAGAACAATTGGCCATAACTGACCGTTTAGACCATAAGCTTAGTCGTTAGTTGAATAAACTAGGCGAAAAAAAAACCAATCACCATGCATCTAACACCTTTATTCACCGTATTTTTCCTCGGTTTTCCAGCGCAAGGGCAAGAAGAAACGTGCGAGATGGACGCCTGTCAAGCTCTGGAAAGGAGCGAGATGAATCTAAAAGAGTTTTCCGACAGTCTGGAACAGAGCGACAGAGAGAAATTCCTGGCGAATTTGGAGCGAAGAGTCAGATCGCTCGAGCAATCCGGTAAGTAAACTCTAAATTCGCAGGTCACAGAGTTAAGAAAAATATTTTTCAGTTTGGGAAATTTCCAAATCGAACGAAAGATGGCTGGACTGCGGCAAGGGCCCTTGCAAGTGCAAGCCAGAAACCAAAAGCGTCACCTGCTGGCAGAGCGACTTACCTGCCATTCCTGCGGGACAAATCCTGCCGCACGATATCATCGCAATGTAAGGATTTTCATTTATTTCATTCATGTCCTCACTGGTATCATTATAATGTTCTCTGTTCATCACCAAATGCTTCCATTAGAACTGATTGCGTTGGTCAGGAGGAACCTGATGTTCCTATTCAATTTTACGAAAAATAATGCAGTTTATTTAATTACAGAGATTTGGGAATAAACGCATTAACAACTCTAAATAAAAACGCCTTCAATTCACTCGCTTTTCTTACCGAGCTGGATTTATTCGACAACAAAATCGACCATCTACCTGACAATGTTTTCCAGGAATTGGACAGTTTAAAATACCTGTAAGTTAAGAAACACCTCACTTAAGCCCAATATAATTACTTATTAATTTCAACTACAGTCGATTGCATAAAAACCTGCTGGAAGAAATATCTCCAGTTCTTCTACTGCACCTCAGGAACCTTCAGACGTTTGATGTTTCGGAAAACCGGATAGGAAGCCTTCCTGCGGAGCTATTTAGAGGCAACTCTAACATGATGCTGCTGCATCTATCCAGGAACCGAATCAGGACCATTCCAGAAACATTGTTGGCCAATTTGGAGTTATTGGAGGATTTGGATTTGAGTAATAATTTATTGGAAACTCTGCCGAAGTTCGCCTTTGTCGATTTAAAAGCTTTGCGAAGGTTGTTTTTAGCAGAAAATAACATTACGTTGCTACCGACAGGTTGGCGTGTAAAATGTAGCTGTTGTAATTACTAGTAATGGTATTTTTGTAGGCGTTTTCGATAAACTTGCCAATTTGGAGCAACTGAATTTAAGGAAGAATCGAATTTCCTACATCCCGGCGAACATTTTCGATAAATTAGAGAATCTGCAAATTCTCCAGTTGACCAACAATAAAATCACCCAGGTATAAATCATGTCGACTGTAGCATTGTAGTTTTACCCAAATCTCACTTTTAGATAGGCGTGGAAGATTTCAAGCGTTTACCCAACTTGGTAGAGTTGCATTTAGGCCAGAATTACATCAACGAATTGCCGGAAAACGCTTTCGTCGCAAACAGAAACTTGGAGAAGTTGTTCTTGTTCTCCAATAACTTCGAAGAGCTCAAAGAGAAGACCTTCAACGGTTTAGTGAGCCTCACACTTTTATTAATCAACAATAACATTCTGAGGGATGTACACTCGAGATTGTTCTTCTACACGCCCAGTTTACAAAAATTGTTAGTTTCTCGAATCAATAGAGAATTCGAATTTATTTTAATATTTTTCAGGCATCTAGACAGCAACAAATTCCACTTCCTACCAGCCAAATGTCTAGACCACCTCACCCAATTGATATCCATAAAACTGGCCAAAAATCCCTGGCATTGCGACTGCAACATTTTGTATTTAGCCATGTAAGTGTAACAGTTTGATCGGTTAATTGTAGAAATGATTGTTTCCTTTAAGTTGGGTAGATAACAACGTGAACAAATTGTGGGATTCCCAGCCGACCTGTCGTGGCCCAGGCAATCTCGGAGGGTCTCTAATTAAAGATATGACTTTCGATAATCTTTGCGACGGGCAATGGGCCAGCATGACCCATCTATCGCCCAGAGTGCCCATCGGTAAGAAACAGAATGATGGTGAATTGGATGAGGAGATGGCGAATTATACGGAAACTTATCCATTGAATTGAAATCTGGATATTAGACCATTTGAATTCACATGTTTGTGGAAAAAGGTATATATGTGTCAATGTTTGTATATGTTTATGTGTTAGCAAATTGCGAAACCTTTGCAATTTTAATGATAAAACAGTGTTATCAGTTTTGGAAGATTTCAATCGAAGTAATTGGGTTTTGTAGAAAGTTAACTAAATGGTCTATTTTTATGTATTATATCAACTTTGAGTAGTACCTAATAAAAAAATTTAATCGAACAAGATAATTTACTCAAACAATGCCAGATTATTCTAATTGTTATTAATCAATTAGTATAAGCTGTGTGGAGGTTATGCTTTTTAGATTTGTTTACTAATCTTATCGGTTTCACGACTCGAAATAACAATTTAATCTAAGTGATGGAATTAATTAAATAATGAAAAAAACATACATGGACAAATATTGGCAATTCGGAAAACAAGAATCCTTTAATGTATACCAATTTGACATTGCGAAATTCTGTCACCAATTCCGATGAATTAGCTTTGGGGGGGTAATTTAAATTAGGCCGTAGAAAATGCGTTCCGGTAAAGGAAATCCTTTCCACGGGCCCAATACGTTCATATACGAGTACGAAGCTCCTGAGAGACGTGAGTTTAACAAATTAGAATCCGCACGAGAAAATAAAAAAAAACATTATTTTCTAATTCTCCAGCTCATCCTGCTCCTTTTTTGGTGTCGGCGCGAAGGGACTTCTCCCACTTGAACCCGAATTACTGCGAGAGCCACATATATGGCGTCAGAGATGATATGAAAGATAGACGAGTAGGTTATTAAATAATTAATAAAAAAGTGCATAAAGAAATGTAACTTTTTTTTAGATGGGGACTTCTCCCAGCAACGCAGCTCCAAGGGTGCTACACGACATATCACCAGGTGCTCCTGTTACTAATTACATCCCCAAAGAACCCGCTTGTCCAGGAGCTTTCGATAACAAAGGTTTAAATAAATCCGCATTATTTAATTCCTTGTTGTTGCTAGTAAATTATTGTCGTAGATAAGAAGAAATTACCGAAATTCTACACGTGCAGAGTAACTTACAATGCACTGGGTGAAGGCGCTTCTGTGCCTTCCCATATCCACAAATATGGCTATTATATGAACGGTATGGGTCAATTAAAATTGGTACCAACAGATCATATGGATAGGTCAGGAGGACCGGCAAAGTACGGGTCTAATATGAAGGTAATGTTTCATTTAAAGTTCTTCTTTAATCTAATCTGAGTAAGTATTTTTTTATGTTTCTGAGATTGTTGAACATAATATTATTTATTCGATAAAATCTTAGAATATGTTATTCTAATACGCAGATAAAATAGATAAGCTTAAATAAAATAATAATGCCCTAGAGTCATCTTTAGTGCCTAATATTTACGCCATTTTTAGTCCACATGAATATATTTGAATTCACCCGTGCAGCTCCATCTTTCCTACAACCGAGTAAATACTTGGTCTCAAGGAAACCACCGACTTCGAATTTACAACGAACGAAATCTTCTGTTTACAGAAAACAATCTACGACGAAATGTACAAAGGAATAAAATTCCCCACCTCGCCGCGAGAGCAGCGCAAGTACCCCATCCCGGGCCCGGCCGATTACTCCCGAGGGGACGTCGATTTCCACAAAGACCCCGTTGGAGATCAGATACGCAGCATCAAACGTTGGATGACTTACATACCGAGGTACATAGAGAATCTACAATTGGAGGCCATCAACGTAAAACTCCACATCGACGTCCTCTTCATCTATTTCCCTAAATTATAAACGTTCCAGGGCCCACCTAGCCCCACCGATTTCGACACCGTGAAGCCCTTGTGCCAAAGGTCCCCTCCCATCAACCCGCTACCCTTCGTCACGAGCGGTCCTAGGTTTCCTCCTATTAAGCAAGCTCCTGATCATTATGACATAGTCCAACCTACTTATCCAGCTAACAAACTGGAAGTGTCTTTCCTGAAGAGCGCCGAGAGGTTCGTGGACGAGAAACCGACTTGTCTTTCTGGTATGTATGTAACACTACTTACAGCACACTTCTCTATAGCTTTATGAGAGCCTTAACCCAGCAATCTTTTGGAGTGCTTTGATATAAAGGGAGTTTCAGGTCCATTCGATTACGACGTGCCCAGTCCAATAGACGAGAAACTCTACAAGGGCATGGCTGAGGCGGCGGGTAAGCCGCCCTTCGGTCAGGGCGCCAAACGATTGCTCACCGTGCCGTCGAGTAACCCAGGACCGGCTGATTACGGACCGATCGCTCCCAAAAGAGAGAAGAAAACCAGGAAACAACCCACAGTCTCGTTCCGCTCCAAGACGAAGCGATGGACGAGCGATTCTTATCCGGTAAGATTTCTTCAATGTGTAGAAGGGTGTAACAGGTCCTTGTGGAGGTGTAACAGGCGCAGTCGGTAGGATAATTCCTATACGAAGCGATGGAACAACGATTATTATCCCCGAAGATTTCTTGCAGGTGTAATGAATGCACGCGGCATCGTTGCCTAGGACATTGTTCGTTTGAGTCGGTGCGAATGGCGCAGTCGGTAGGATAATTCCGTTTTGTTCGAATGCGTTAAGCGATTTCGGGGAAGCCCCGGAACGCATCTAGACGACGGGCGTAAATAATTAACAAGTCGGCTAAGTGACAGCGTTCGGGAATGGAGCCGGGTTGTTAATTGAAATTTATTGTTCGGGCCTCGATTGTTCCGCGACGGGGATTTTTGATCGGTTACGAACATGTTATACTCTCTATTTAACCGCTCGTTCGCTCTATTTGTCCTTTGTCTTTGTACTTCGATTGCGTTATAGTTTGGGAGATTTATGGGAAAATTGTTCTTTGTGGAATATCCGCGTTAATCCGATGATAATATAGAATAGTTGTAGTTAAAAATGGGGTTCATATGGGAGAATTTAAGTATAAATAGAGGGTGCAAAAGTGGTTAAAAATTTGGTGTATTTTCAGCGAGTTTGCTTGTACTAAACCACGTTTCTCTTTCTACTTTTTCGGTTAATTTTGTCGTTTATGGTTTTCAATTTTCCGGGAAACCTTTCGATTTTCGGCTTTGTCGCGCGCGTTTGTCTGTGCGCGCGTGTGTGTACTTGAAGGGCTCGTCACTAGAGAGTCCTACAAGCCCCTGCGAGTTTCCTTTTGAGTACCAGAAAACCTGTCAACTCGCAAACTTGTAATTAATTGAAAAATACGCGCGCCGCAAATCGAAAAGGTGATTAGATCGGATACATACACCGGTATCTTTCCGTGTATGCGGGCCGAAATAATGCTATGTGGTCATCGAACCGCACTATCTACTTCATTACCGAAACACGTGCACGTTAACGGGGAGAATCGGGTGGAATCGATGGGGTGTTAATAAATAAAATATCCATCCTCGTGTCCGTTTGGTGATGGCAGCTCAAGCTGAGATCATCATGCACAGTTTATACCTATAATTGAATAAACAAATAGCCACCGTGTATTTTCCTAACAACGTTTTCTTAGATTTTAAATTAAAATCGCCTGCCCGAGAATATTCGCCAGCCAATCAATCAGCCGCCCCAGCAGCTTTATATTGGCCTCATCGGATTCGATAAGGATTGAATTTTCGCTAATTAGGGGAAATTTACATCGGCTATATTTGCTCGGAGTCGTGGAATAGAAAACCCATTTGTCTTAATCAATTGGATATCGGGCGAAACCCCCGCGGAAAGTGACACTGTTTTCGTTGCTAATGATGAGGCAGGTCGCAGTGGCGCCACCTATTTGCTAATTTAAATTAAATTCTTCAAAAACACCAGCGGATTCTCGTTAAATATTACCTCCATAAATATTACACAATTAATTTTCTAACGATATACAAGAGTAATAAACCTGGAGGGTTTAATGAGGATGGGATCCTTAGCGATTGTAGGACGCCACTGCGTTTACCTAAACACTCTTCCTCGCCCTATTTACGCAACTTTCGCGGAAAGTTCGAAGAAAAGTCGGGCGAGGAATTTTTGTCGATGTTCGTTAACGAAAATTTCCGCTGATGAAAATTGATGGCGCATTAGGAATTTCTAAATTGGACCGAAGTTTGACGGGTTGTCATTTCTCGATGTGGCTCGTTTTATTAACATCCGAAGAAAGAAACGAGCCAATATCGATTGAAAGAGGTGTATCGAATTTGATTGATTGAATCCGCGCGTTTTATTTCCAATTTTCAGAAGTGGGATTATCTGAAGGTCGCCGATGCTCACGATTTCGTGATTAAGGGCAGAGCGACATCGCTGGGAGGCTATCCTTTCAACGTCGGCAGCAAAAGGGCGGGATATTTCGATATGCTGCCCACTCCACGTTAGTAATCGAACATTATTTATTTGCTTATTTATGTGAATTTATTGATTTTGCTTAGCATTCACGAAATATTGCAACAAACCGGAGCTAACCTCGAAGGGATTCTATATACCGCAAGCGTTGAGATTTCCCAAACCCAGAGATATTATTCCAGCACCCGATGCTTATTTGGTGAGTTTTTATATAAATATTAATTACCCATATCAGGTCCTAATTGACAAAAATCCGACATTATTAAAAAAAACTATCAGCTAGTGTAATTATTTTATAAGCTACTACTGTAGCTATCTATATACTTCTAATATATCGATAAGATGATATTTTTTTGTCTCTCCCGCGACGGCAAAAACCCATCCCGCATCAATTGAAAAGCTCGCACAGTCGAAGATAAATCCCCCCACTTTGGGCGAAAAGTCTTATAAGAAACTAGTACAGTCGACCGGAGATTTTTTCGACGCGTTTCATACACGAGGAATCGAATGTTCGATCGATCGACCGCGTTCGGCCACCCCTCTGCGATTTGTTATGGACCGAAATCGTTTTTTTCCAGACGGATGTGGGGGTGGCTCGGTGTTCGCGTGTTTCGGAAAAAAAAACACAACCTATCGTGGAAGTTACTAATTTTTTTCTGCCATCGGGACGTCGGAATTTCATCTTTCGAAAGCCTCGAAATTTAAGATAAAATCCGAATTGTTGATTGTCAAAAAGCAGGCGTAAAATGCGCTAGTTAATGAGCTATCAAACGAACTAGTTAACATTTTTACGGCGTTATATTTTCCAGCAGGGGGTTTATAATGTTTTTACGATACGCGTTCGGTCGTAATGCGAGTTTATTTTTCGAATTAATAAAGCGCCGCGACGGCTTAAAATTCCCTAAAACAGTTAACGACGCTTCGGGTTGTTGGAAGTGTAGCGGAGTTAATTGATACGACTTTTAATAACGACCCCATCCCGATCATCGTCGAGTTTTTGCCATCGCCATAACGAGCTAAATAGCCCCGTCAAATCCACTAGTTTTTGATAGAAATGGCTCGATTGACTCATATAAAAATTAAATAAAAATCCTTTAGTTTCTATTTGTGGTAGCTACTAGTCGACAGCAATTACTAATTAAATACAGATCCTAGTAAAGAAGGATATTTCCACGCCAAAAAGCGATCTCCACGGTCGTCGATTGAATAGAGAAACGGGCAATAAAATAAATTTCCGCGCGAGTTTTCCGGTTTTTCTCATCGGCAAATCGCTCACAATACTCTGAGTCATCCTCGTATACATCACCGATTGTCATCTACAGCGTGTATATATATCAAAGGGACGTGTCCGCGCCAGATTTTCACCGCGATTTAGAGGAGAACCGCCAACGTTCGAGCCGTTGGGGCAGACCTAAGAAGAAAAATAAACCGGGAATTTTACGGGAAAGTTTTGCAACAAACCCGCTCTCGACCGTCCACAATCGGCACTTCTTTAGAGTGGACTAAACGAGTGCAGCGTTGCGGGTGCAGTCGATCCGCGCCCGCTGTAAAAGTAGAATCATAAACCAAAATCGACGGTAATCAAAATTCGAGACCGAAATCCGGCGAGACAAAGGACGAAACGGCGTTACATCCGTAATTATAGGCAAATAAATTCACTAGTAACAATAACAAAAGGGGCTCTTGAGGTTCGCTCGGTTTCGGTTTTAGTTTGCGCGCGATGTTTGGATAGCGGAGAGAACCGAAAAGGGGGTAAAAAGGAGGCGAAAAGGGGGGTTCAAAAGATTATTAACCGTTTGTGAACGAAAGTCCTGTTTATTTTCGTGTTTGTTATAGTTGTTATTCGGGATTAAACCGGCTAAAAATGAGGTGGAATATGGGAATTTCACCTAAAAGCTTTTTAATAGCTTTATTTACCTATCGCTTAATTAATAACTTTGATATTTAAGTTAGTTTATACCTAAATAAATCAAAATTTTGCTTGTAAATAAATCCTTGAAGGACAATAAGAATGAAGGTTTGGGGGTAAAACAGAGTAAAACAAGTGTTGAGGCCAAATTATCGAGATGCGAATAAATTATGAAAATTGGCAACATCAATAAAAGTCGGCCATAAACATTACAGTCATAGGAAGTATAAACTTGGAAGAAGTCGGAAAAACCTAGGGATTTTCGTCGCTTTTATTACGTCATATAGATAGATAAAATGTAACTTTATTGAATTTTTTACGAGCTTGTATCGGTTACGAAGGGTCAAAAGCCGCCTCGCTCGGTTGATTTTAATAAGTAGCAATGTTTTATTACTGTTTACATATAATAAAATATTAGAAATAAATCATGAAATCGATAGATAATTCGCTTTAATTGGAATCGATCGAATCGAATGCGAGAATTTTATTATAAATATATACGTCGATGGGAAGTTCAATATACTCGAGTAAAGACAATTTTCTATACACATAAATTCGTAAACCTATAAGATTTATAATCGTTTAAAAAGTACCTACCATTTAACCGCTCGGAAACGTTAAATTACTTTTATATAGGTAATTTCAGCGATCAAATATAGGCAGAGTTCGGGAGTTTAATAAACTTAAGTGAAAATCCTCGTTTTTTTACGCTCGAATTTCACTCGATTCGCCCGCCAATCGCCAACTAACCAACCCTTTTTCCATTACATTCGATTGCCCCACATAAATAAACGGCGCTTTTTATTACACATCAGACTAACAAGCGCCGCCGCCGCCGCCGCCGCCGCCGCCTCTTTTCTACGAATCCACGAATTCCTATTAATATTCCGCGGCGTTTCCGCTATTAATTTTCGGCACGTGCCGGCCGCGTCCTCTCCCAATCCGATCCCGAATGTCGCCCGTATGCTCCGGGAGTTTCTCCGGATCGGTCTCGAGCTCGAATCTAATTAGTTTCGAAAGTGATACATCTGGCTGGAAACCGCCTTCGTACGGTTTCCGAACGGCTTTGACACGTGCGAGACTTGTCAAAGAAGCGCGAACTAACATTAGATTTTCCGCTTTTCTCGGATTATTGCGCGATCAATTATCCAGTGGAATAATTACCAAAGGGGGGCGAAATTATCCGGGATACCTGTTATCCGAATATCCACATGGTTAATTATTCCGTAGGACTAATTGTCCAAGAGACCCATTATGTACAGGGTACCAAATGTGCAAGAGGTTAATTATCCAGTGGACGGGATCATCATTTATACATACTCAGTTACAGTTTCCTCAGCATATCATGCACATATATGCCCATTCGGGATAGCCAGATTTCGTTTCATTCCCCATTAATTCCGGATAAAAACGCAATTTCTCCCGGGCCACACCGCAACCCGAGAGGGGCGCGTTCCGACTTGTTTCCCTTTCGATCGTCGAGCGTTTTCCTTAAACGTCTGATGATATAGCGACTATTCGAAACGTCGTAAAATTCCTTTTAGTGTTTTGCACAAGAGAGAAAGCCCGCCGGTGACTCATCGTGTTTTTATTAAAATTTATTATGCGCGATGTTCCACAGTTGGGGGGAGATTAAGGAATGTGATGGTTGATCCAGTATTGTCTCTTTTTGGGGAAGAAAACTAACGAATTTTCTCTATATACTAATAGCACAAAGAAACAAATCTTTTGCTTTATAAGGATTAATTTGGAAGTTCAATTATCTAGGCTAGAGTATCAACTATTTATTATGCAAGGTACCGATTATCCCTTGGATAAATTATGGAGGAGAGACATTACCCATTGAATAAAATATCCGGGATATAAAACGCCTTGTATATAAGCGATGAAAAACCGTATTCGATCGTAAAAAGATTTACTGTCGCCGAATGGTCGGTTGGATACATTCGCAATGATACAAAACATACGCGATATGGGTATATTTTCGGGGAAATTTGGCCGGGAAAATCGAAGAGAATAAAACGAAACTACCGCTACATTTCGATGCTGATTTGTTATGCGACGCTCGTTGACCTAGAAAAATGGCGGAGCGCCGTGGGAGGTCGCGTATTATTGGCGAGAAAAAAGAAAAACACCGGTATCGGAAAATAGACGGACGCGCTGTTTATAAATGGGAACTCTCCGGCCCTCGACGATTGTTTACTCCGGGCAGCTCTCGAAACCGAAGGCGATTTTTCATTTCGCCGGCATTACCGCGGCCAAATCGGATAGGCGAGGACTTTAAAGAACCGTTCCGGAAAACTTATCCCATTCGAAAACTTTTCCTGACCGCAAAAATTTTATTTTTATTCGAATCATATCTAACTTTAACATTTGCATTTTCGATGTCGTTTGATTCGAGAATTTGTATATTCGAAAATGATCAATTTTCCAGGGATTAGTAAAACAAATCTTCCGAACTCTTCGACATCGTGCATTTTTAATGGTCGATGTTCTCAAAAATTCAATAACACCGTCGAGAAATTTACTCTTCACCTGCAGGTCTAATAAGGAAAGCGGATCCGTTCCCCAGGAACTGAAACTGAGTTATTTATTTAACGGTTTAATTCGGAGTCGAGTCCTGCCCTCCGCAGGACCGTATCCAAAGTATTTACTCTGAATCTATTCTAAATCTACTCTGAATCTACTCTGAATCTACTTGGAACTAGGAACCTATTCTAAATCTACCATCTGAATCTACTTGGAACTTGTGGAACCTATTCTGGATCTACTTTAAATCTACTTGGAACTTGGAACCAATCCTGAATCTACTCTGAATATACCTGGAACTTGGAACCTATTCTGAATCGACTATCTGAATCTACTTGGAACTTGGAACCTATTCTGGATCTACTTTTAATCTACTTGGAACTTGTGGAATCTATTCTGAATCTACTTGGAACTTGTTGATATACTTGGAACTTGGAACCTATTCTGAATCTACCTGGAACTTGGAACCTATTCTGAATCTACTATTTGAATCTACTTGGAACCTATTCTGGATCTACTTTGAATCTACTTGGAACTTGTGGAATCTATTCTGAATCTACTTTGAATCTACTTGGAACTTGTGGAACCTATTCTGGATCTACTCTGAATATACTTGGAACTTGAAACCTATTCTGAATCTACTTGGAACTTGGAACCTATTCTGGATCTACTTTGAATCTACTTGGAACTTGTGGAACCTATTCTGGATCTACTCTGAATCTACTCTAAATCTAATCAAAATCGAGGAATTTTCTATTTTTCCGTAGATTCATCCGACTCACACGTCTAGCATGTACAACGCCTTCACCACGCACAATTTGAAACTGAAGGAAGCCGCCGCCAGGATGGCCTTCAGGGTGAACCCCAAGGATACGGATTACCTGTGGAGGAAGGAGAGGAGCAAGAAGAAGAAAATGAAATGGTTCTACAAGGACGGCAAGGATTACGTGCATTGCGTCAAGGACATGAAACCGTACAAAGGAAAATAAACCATATACTCGAACATTTACATCGTTTTATTTTAAAGGGGTAGTTAGAAATACCTAAATAAAAAAGGATTGAGAAGGGTATAGTATAATGGAATTTTTCTCGGGGTAGTATAATTGTTTCGTGTCGCGCGCCGCTGATGTTAAAGTGTTAGACCCGCTGTGCTTATTCCCGTCAAATTCTCACCTCTACTCCGTCTCGAATTGTGACCTGTCAAGCGCAGCCCTGGTAATATGACTAAAACCCGTATCCCGAATTCCTTGAGATTGACGGCAATACAAATTGAACATTTCGACGAAGAAGAAGAGGAGGAAAAACGCTCATATATGCTATGGAAAGATTTGTTTCCTTATGAACGAATCCCGGCTGGAAAAACCTGCTGGAAATTGCGTAGTGTTGTCGTGAAAAGCCTGCTAATAATTGCTGGTACTGGCAGGAAACATGTCCAGTTCCTATATATACCGAAATTTCTAATTTCTATATTGTAGGAGAAGCTGTTAAATTCATTTAATGTGTCTATTGGGTAACTTTTTTTTCATTATCTTGACTACTCATAATGATATTTCATCCACCAAAATTGTTAGTTCCTTCGCCAAAATTTCGAATATTTAGTATATCTGCTGCAAATAAATTGTTTAATAAATCAAACACACGGAAAAAAGTAATTTATTCCCTGTCAATGGCCGATTTCGCGAACGCCGTATGTCCTTTTTTGCGCCGTTGTCTCGCGTTAGAGCTGGAAATTGCCGAGTTGCCCCGTAACTTTCTTTCTATTTGCAGTAATATAAGTGACACAGTGTTAAATTAAAGTGTCATTCCGAGAATAGATGTGTAGCCGGCGGTTGACAGCTCAAAGAAAATCCGCGCAGACGTCTAGTGGTCGTTGGGCGTCGAGACGACGACTCTGCGACGTCGGAAATAATGCCCGGAGCAAAAAGAAACGCGGTTCCTGGGAAATCTAATAAAACAACAGACAAAAAAACCTCCAACTCTAACGAATTTATCGCGCGATACCTACTCGCTTGTGCAATTAATGTAATTTAATTTCGGCTCGATTTTTACCTGGCCCGATACACGACTTGTGATCCGATTATTCGCGATGCGCCGTAGAAATAACACCAATCGGTTCATTCGAGTTCCATTTACCAAACAAACACATTCCCATCGCTCCTATCTCGGCGAGCATCTCGATCTAGTCGCCTTATCAGATCCGGGACAAATGAAAGTCCATCGGAGCGACTCGGTATCTAGATTATCTGCCGGGTTTTTTTTTTTTTTTTGAAAAATCCGGTGCAATCTGCAACGCTCGCAGCTGGGCTTCGATGCGAATCGATAATTTTTTTTTTTTTCGTTAGGTAAAACTTGAAGGGGGTTGGAGTGGGGTCCTTTGTCATCTTGTGCGGTTTTGGTTTATTTTCCTTGAAATGTCGTGGGTGGCGTTGATATTTCGATCGGTCTTTGTTTTAACGTATTTAAATCCGCTTTCGCGGATCACTGGATGCGCACCGGGGGTGACATTTTTCGGGGGGTTGAAGGTGAACGCAAGAATGAACTCAAGGAATTCATCGTCGATCAGAGAATGAGCGAAACACGATTCCTTCGGCCCTTTTATTTATTTTTTTTATTATTTGTTTTTGTTCTATTATATTACGTGTTTGATCAGGTATTGGTAATTTGATAGGTTTATTTTTCGAGAGGTAAAAAAATTCTTCGTCCGTTTAAACAAATCGAAAAATATCACGTTTCCCGTACTTCCCAATAGCGCTATTGTGTTAACCGAATAAATTACTAATTTAAAAAAACGTGATCATTTCGATATAGGAAAATAATCCGAATAAAATGCACCGTTCGAAACGATTAAGACTATAGTAAATCCACGTTAATCTGACGATGCGGCGTTGCCACGTTGTAATTTATTTCTTCTAAACACCAAACCTCACGTTTACATTGTTTACACGCTCGCACTTATGTTTGATAAGTGCCGTAAAACTCACTTATTCGTCATTTGAAAAGGTTCAAAGCTGTACGCATTTGAGTTGTAAAGCCGCAATAATTTCAACTTTTTCACGGTACTACAAGTGTTCTTCAACGTTTTAATCCATCATCAATACACCCAGATGTGTTGTGGAAAAAGACCCTTGAGCGATTTCGTATTCAAATTTAAATACCAGCACGAGACGGGAGGGTTGTGTTTCATTTCGTTGCGATGTTGTCGGTTATTTAAATAAATAAATTGTAATTTGATGATGTATTATATTAGAAATGTGTATTATTGTTTATAAAAATTGCTTATACAAGTGCGAGCTTGTTAAATAGTTAGTTTTTGGATAAGTCGTAATGGAAAATCCGGTTTTTCGTTGATAAATTGTAGACTTGGCAATGTTGCAATTATAGGGTTGTTTGAGTGTTGGGACTCGCACAATAGTCAATAGGGGTGAGAACAGCTTTCTGCTTCTTAATCACTCGATGGGTTGTGTTAATCTCGAAATTTTACATCTGGATATTTGTAAACTTACCACAGAAAAACTCGTTTCGGCATTATTAACCCTTCATCATCGAATTAATTCGTAACGAAATATCTACTATAATTACAATCTACATAAAAAGAAAGAAACTAATTCAATTTAGAGTTACTATAATTCGTATTAATAGTTAACTGACCACTATAATTTGACGCTTCTTCATTGTGATTGTGAACATGGAGAATTTCTACTGTCAACTACATAATTAAACTTTTAGAATCACCCTTGATAATTACGGAACATATCGGCACGTGTCTCCGCGCGGGGACTCGACTTTTATAATACCCAGCTGGGTTATTTCCTCGTCAAATCAACTAGGAAGTCGTAATTATCATACGAGACATTAGCCTTACAATGCTTCCAATTCGACTAGTCTGATGAGCTATCTAATATGTACATACACTAGACCGATTTCGGAGGGAAAGCGATGGTAAAATACAATTAATTTTTTTTTATTTCGTTCCGAATCGTCGATTCAGATTCGGAACTTTTCCGTTATATTTTCAATGCAAACAAATCGGTCGAAATTCGACTGGAATAACGCGTAATTTGCGGCGAGTTTAAATTACAGAGTATTATGGTAAGTGTGTTTGTTCTGTTCTTACAGCTGTCGATTTCGCATCGCGACGCCGGCGACGGCCGGGCTAATCTGACGTCGATTTTTCGAATAAAAAAAAAGCTAGAAAAAGCTGTAATATTATATCTCAAAAGCACAAAATTTTGATTGAAATAGTTTATCAATTAAATAATTAATTCCTCCTCTCCATTATTAGTTCATTATCAGCCTATAATAACGTTTATCTAAAATCTCCGGAACACCCTCTATACACAAAACTAATTCATTAATAACTCCTTTGTGCATGATGTTGCCCTTCTTCTTCCACATGCGTCAGTTTCGTTTTGTATTATACATTTCAATCAACCGAACGTTCCGCATGAATTTTCACGGAATTTCCATGCGAGTGTATTCCATTGAAAAGTTTGCGAGCTTCCTCGACCGATGTCCATTAAGTTTCCTCGAATGACCGGCCGGAACGTTTCCGGAAATTCACGGTCCGCTGGCGTGCGATTTGCGAACGCCAGCCGGACGAAAAATTCTTGTCTTTTGATTTCCAGGAAGCTTCTAGGACGAGTCAGAACTGTCGAAAACCAGTTAGAACTCTCCAGGGTGATTTAGAACTATCCAGAATCGTTCAGTTTGCTTCAAAACGAATCAGAATTGTTGAGAATCATTTTAGAAGCACGCTTCTAAAGCAACTATTAACTGCCTAGAACTATTTAGAACTGTCCAGAATCGTTTACAAAAGAATTATTATTATTATTAATAAAAAAATGTCGCATAATATAATTCAATAGATTATGTAATACGCGCATATTTTCCAATCAAATCGCCGGTTAATCGCCTAATTAGCGGTCGAACTGAACGGGGCGCGATTTTCTATTTTTGTTTAGATTCCTTCGCACTTCGTTTGACTGTTATAGCGTCGCGACGTCCACCGTCAAATTAGAACATCCTATTCGGCCTCTCTGCTCTTTAATCTTTCCGCGGATCGTTCGTCATTTCGAAGCCGCGATTTATATTAAATGCCTCCATATCGGATTTGTTTAGTCTTTTCCCCGGCGAAATCGCCCAACGTTAATTCATCGAGCGCAACAAAGATTTACGATCCAAGCAAATTAGATTTCCGTAAATACCGCGAGTATGATACGTTCGTGTTAACTCGGTGGTGACGTCACGCTTACTTATGAATGAAGCTTGAAATATGTATATCGAATATGTCTTAAAATATGCTATGCAGATATAAAGTGTACTAGATAAAGATACACTTCGAGATTTCAATTTAGTTAAAGCAAGAAATTACTGAGTAATTATGCAAAAAAAATGTTTGTATTTAATACGTTAAGTTTATGAGATTATTTAGCTCCTAAATATGAACTTTTTTACAACTTCAAAAATCTCGAATTGGTGATAAAAAGTGCATCAAAACGATTACTCTATAATTGAGGTCACTACTGCCTTATATTGAACGCACCATATGCACAATAGCGCTCTAATTATAATGGTGCGTTTGTTTACTGATTTCTAAAAACAATTCGTATTCTCGATAAAATCGGGTAGAGGTATAAAAATACGCGGAAGCCCTCGAGGGCAATAAATTCGCTTCGATGCGCGTCGATTGCTTCTTTTCCTTTTTCGTTTGTATAATTGGAGCGCATGCACTACAACTACATGTTTAAATGGAATTGAGCCAATTTATGAAGTGACAATTATTTCGGAGGCCTTTTAGATCGTTCCGTATCCGATCGGCGCACGTATGAGGGCAGCAATATACAGGGCGATCATTCACAATATACAACAAAAATTCAGTTTTCTACTAATATTAAACGGAATTTAATCGAAAAATAATCTACTGTTACAGAGTTTCTTTGTCCACTCGTATAGTGTAATACACAGTGCGATTCTTTATAATAAATAATACAACAAAACTCAG